GATGGGCCAGAAACATAGGCTAGGGAATATGATACAAAGAAAGGTCTCCCTGCGTAATTCCTGCTCAGAGCCTCCAATAAGCTATTCAGAACCAGGAACGTGTCTTTCTTTGGCATCATTCCAGGACCTAGCACAGAGTTAGAACCAATTTGTTGAAAGTGTGAACCCTAGAAGGACTGGGTGGTTCATACGGTGAGGAGTGGGAGAAGACTGGCATGGCAGTGATGAGTCCTAGAAATGAACCTTCTAGTGCATGTTGGGTACAGTAATTGGCTAGCTTTCCTCATGTCTAATGCCCAAAGAAATGGGAGTTTTAAGGAAATATGAAGTCCTAGAGAGAGAGAGTCAAATTAGAAAAGGTGCCCCTCACAAAACCCACTTCTTCTATCAAGAACAGGCCTTGTTCTTCTTGCAAGGGAAAAAGAAATTTTTTTTATCTATATAAGATAATGAAGGCTAACTAAACTTGTTGTGATAATCATTTCATATACTTATATTTTGCCATGTATAATGTGCACTTTTTGCCCAAATTTTTGAGGGAAAAAGAAGGATGCGCATTTATTTGGGTATAATGATTCCACACCACGAGTATAACAATGGGTATAATAATCTCATGTATAATGTGCACAAAATATGGGTGTGCATTATACACAGCAAAATACGTGTATAATGCACACCCACGTAACTCAAGTCATTATGGTATACACCTAAAACTTACACAGTGTAAGTCAAGTCATGATGATATATTCTTTAAACTTTTACAGTGCTGTAATGTCAATTCTTTTTCAATAAAACTGAAAGAAAAAAATAATTAAATGGCATCATGTATGCAAATTCCTGGCATGTGATGAACACACACAGTAAAAGGCCCTTGGTGGTGGCCCCACCCTCTCCCAAATCCATTCACAGTGGGATGGCCAGTAGTGGGGAAAGATCGCTACAGCGGCCGGGCTCTGTGAGGTTACTCCCAGGGCAGTACGGGGGGCTAGGTTTTGTTTTGATGGGAGGGGCCTATGCAGGAGTGTTTATAGCCTGCTCAGGAGCTTTGCTCAGGTGAACTATACACAAGAGGAATTTTAGGATGCATTTCAAAATAGAAATACATAGGAATTTTCATATAATTATAATAATTCAGCAAAATGAAAGGAGAATTTCTATCCCATTCCTGTTATAAATGACCCACTAAGATTCTTTTCTGAAAGCAAACAAAGGTGTCATTTCTACCCACTTATGTTGATAATCTGGTCCTTCTCAGCTGACAGTGCAAATTAAGATCAACTAATATGCCCCTCCCCCCTCCCCCAACCCCTGCTTTTGAATGTCTTATAATTGCCAAGAATAACCATCTCTTTGTAAATCACGTAGGGCAAGTGCTGATCTAAGCAAAGTGGTAATTTCATTATCAAACAGAACTTGTGAAACCTTGCAGACAGAAAACCATTTCATTGGCTAACAGACATAGGGGCCCTGAAATGGCTTTCCTGGAAAAAAAAAATAATGTGCCATATATTATCTACATAGAAAGAAGGTGTTACAGGATAATCATTCTCATAGTTACTATGTTATAGGATTAAAGATGACTTATCAAAGTACTTTAAAACAGCAGAAGTTATTAAGACTCAATAACAGACTTGGTAATAAAAGTTCATATGTCCAATTTGAAAGAATATACGTACCCCTATGTTCATAGCAGTGCTATTTACAATGTCCAAGATCTGGAAACAGCCCTAGTGCCATCAGTAGATGAGTGGGTAAAAAACCTGTGGTAAATTTACACAATGGAATACTACCCAGCCATAAAAAAGAAGGCAATAGTACTTTTTGCAATAGCATGGACAGACCTGGAGATTATGACGCTAAGTGAAGTAAGACAGTCATAAAAAGACAAATACCATATTATCTCACTTATATGTGGAATCTAATAAACAAAGTAATCTGATGAACAAAATAGAAACTGAAGCATGAATACATGGAACAGATGGACAGCTATCAGAGGGGAGGGGAGTAGGGACTGGATGAAAGAAGATGAAGGGATTAGCCAAAGAACATACTATATGCATAACCCACAGACACAGACTCCAGTGTGGTTGGTGACGGCCAGGGGCGAAGGGCAAGGGAATGGGTGGAGGCGAGCGGGGGGCGGAAATGGGGACATCCGTAAGAGTGTCAACAAAAAAAACCCAAGTTCATATGTCCAATTATGACATATGGTTTTCACAGGGAAAAAAACAATTAAAAGCACCTGTGTCTTAAATACACTTGGGGATGCAGGCTCATAATGGGTAGTTACAGTAGCCCTGCCACCGACTACCACCTACACTCAAACACAGCCCTTTCTTAGGTGAACTCTAAATACTAAGTCTTATTTGTTGATAGGTCTAGATCAAGACCCGCAGGAATGCTGGTGGTAGAAGGCAGAAGTGATATTCCCCTATTTCTTAACCCATTCCTACGAGCTTTTCCTCTGCTGAAAAGCCATGAGGGGTGGTGGAAGTGCAGCCTGCAAATGGAGGCAGGGTGGTGGGTAAACATTTTTCTTTTTTAAAATCAAGAATCCTGATTCATGGTCCTGCTTCTTCCACTGACCAGAGCTATGACTTTGGACAAACCTAGTTAGTGTCCCTGTGGTTTTGGTTTATCATCTCTAAGACTAGCAACTGTCCCATTGTCACTTGTGATTCCACATAAACATCCAAATTATAGAAGGCTGTAAAATCACTGGCTTTCCACTTCTTTCTGTGGAACTGGTTGGCTTTAAAATATGTCCACAAATTCTTTGACACTCCTCCCCTTAAAAGGCGGAGTCTGCTTCACCTCTCTGGATTTTGTGGTTGCCCCAGTGGATGGATGCAGCAGCGTGAAGCTGTGTGAACTTCAAGGCTGACTGACCATTAAAAGTGATACGGTCTCACTCTCTCTCTTGTTCTCACACTCCATCTCACTCTCACTCTTTATCCTCGGACCGAGGCCTTTGGATCCCTGGGCCAAGATATCCAGCTACTCTGGAACCACCAATCTATAGAAAACCAAATAAAGAAACCACATAGTCAGAGACAGAGAGAGGCCCGAGGAACGTCAGCTGTCTGAATCTTCCAAACCAGGTGACTGATATATGCGCGGTGAGCCTTTCAGATCATGCCAGCCCCAGCCACGGTCTGACTACAGTCTCAGAGGACACCTTTAACTAGAACTACTTGGATAAGTGACTCCTGAATTCCTGATCAACAGAAGCAGGGAGAGCTAATAAATGATTATTGTTGTTTTAAGCCACTAACTTTTGAGGTGATTTGTTATGTGGCCAGAGTAACTGGAAGGATTATGATAGAATCAACACTACAGGGCAAAAAAATGCCACCCTCAAGGTCAGACAAGGAAATCTTTAGCATCCACAAGAACCATAGGGAAGAAGACTTGGAAGTATTCAAGAATGATGGAGGTAGGCACAATTCACCAATAAATGCCACACACACACACACACAAAACCCCCACCAGAATAATCACCTTTTTATTTAGAAACTGGGTGACCTTTCTGAACACTCATAGTTAAAAAAAACTATGGTAAGAATGACCCTAATTAGAGCCATCTGAAACCAGCAGCAGAGTCAAAGGGAAAGGAAGAAGCTGGGGCATTTTCTGTCATTTCTACACAGGCATCGGCATCGCTGCTCACTGGCTTTCTGCCTCTTGCCTTTCTCAATATATTTTGCAATGGTGCAAGCGTTTCCCTAAACACACCTCCAAATAACTCAGAAAAGTGGGCTTCTCCTTTTACAGGGGTAAAGAAAAGAGTTGGAGCCCAGTCAGCAAAGGTGGCACCTATCACTGGGCCACAGGCAGTGAGGCTGGGGTGAGGCTGAACCAAGGGCGATGCTCAGGAGATAGCAAACGGTGGCCAGCAGGGAGAATTCAGCCACGAATCCATGTGTTTTCTTCCTAGCCCACCCAGGGTTTTCAAAACAGGAAAGTTCACATAAAAAGTCTCGAGTTCTACTTTCTTTTGAAACACTGGAAGTCTAGCAACCCCAGGTATGCATTCCCACCTGGTCTCAGTCAGACAGAGCTGACTAGCTGTTTCTCCCTTTGGGCAGAACACGTGCACTTTATTTGCCACAATCTCCACCACTCCCCATCCTATACTTCGGGTTCACTTCACTCTTTTACTCTACATTTCTGGTTCCTATGAGCATTTGAAATTTTTTAAGCAGATTTTATTTATTTATTTATTTATTTATAGGGGAAAGGAGGGAGAAATAGAGGGAGAGAAACATTGATGGGAGAAAGAAACATTCATTGGTTGCCTCCCATATGTGCCCCAACTGGGACTGAACTCACAACCTAGTCATGTGCCCTGACCGGGAATCGAACTGGTGACCCTTCATTTTGCAGGACGACGCCCAACAAACTGAGCCACACCAGTCAGGGTTGAATGTCTCTTCACATGTACCAACAGAGGCATTTCAGACTCCAAACCCCAAGGTGATCCTTGATCACTATAGGTTTGAAATTTTTGGTGGTTTGGAAATTCTAGTAAATTCTGATATTTGTGCCCTTGCCAATTTCTCTCCCTGAACTACAAATACAAGACCAGAACAACCCATATGCCTTATGATTATGTAAGTCATCTTACAGCACTGTTACTGAATATTGGGGTGCTAAGTGTGCCTCCAGAAAATTATACTGAGCTTATTTGATACATTCAAATGAGCTTTAAAATACAGACTGTGTCCATACACAGGTCTAACATTCTCAGCCCAAATAAATATGGAAAAGAGTTCATTGTCAGTCATTTCTAAGATTAAGATGGAGAAAAAGGGAACAAAGAGATCTAGACATCATAACGTTAAACAATTTAATCACTTACCACAGAATATCTCCAAGGTGATTTCTAGAGGGGACTTAACTAGGCAAGTGAGGTCATTTCCTGAGAGATTTAAGACCAGTATTTTCAGGTTTGGGTATATGTGTGTGTGTCAGAGAAAGCACAAGACAAAACAACTCACCAATTCCAGACATTGTCTGTGGCCATAGGCAGCAGCATAATGTATGCTATTGTAACCTTCATTGTCCCGGATAGATGGATTTGCATCATTCTGAAGCAGAAACTCTAGGCATCTGTAAGTATAAAGATGAGGTTATTTTAGAAACACCTCTGGACCAAAAGAGATAATGAATATAAATTTCCTTCTATGATGAATGATCCACAAAGCACTTTGTGAATTTAAGTATTTCTTTAAAAATCCTATAGCAATGAGATTTTATGTTCTGGAAGGCGGGGTTGGGGGTGGGGGTGGGGGTGGTGGTGGTGGTGGTGGTGTGTGTGTGTGTGTGTGTCTGGAAGGGGGTGTGTGTGTGTGTGTGTGTTTTCTGTATCCTCCTTTATTTCAGCTTAAAATAGCCATTCCAGAATTCAAGTAAGGCTTTAGCAACAAGAGGGTAATGAAGTTCTTTTTCCTTCTCATACTAAGGTAGAGAACCTTTCTGTCATCAAGATGATTGAATAATAAGTGTTACAGCTCCATGTTCAAAAGACAAAATCTCAACCATAATAAAGAAATGGTCAGGCCATTGCAACAGGGTAAACCTCAGAGACAGGGTTTATTTTTAACCTTGCTGTTGGAAACTCTAAGATCAAAAGGTTAGAAAAATGAAAGTTAAAAAGTGTAAGAAAACAACAACAACATAGAACTCAGAAAGAATCTAAACAATAAAAGGATTAAAGGAATGGATGAACATTTAAAAAATATAATTCAGTAACCACATATGAAGAAAAAGGCTCAAATTATACCATTAGGAATATGGACTAAAACAAGTAATAAATAACACAATCTGTAATAAAACAAATAATAAAAAACACAATCTGTGGAATAGGTTAGAGGCAGGTGTGGCTCCACCTTTCCTAAAGAGCCCCAAACTCCAGGACACAAGTCCTCAAGGACGCGATGCGTTAGTTCAGGACCTGTTGCAAATGGCACAGTCCTGCTGGGGAATAAGTAGGAAATGCTGCTCTGTAATTTCAGTTTTATTTCTGTGGCAGTAGGACAAACAATTCCTTGACAAAACCAAGATGATTCAATTTCATACTCAAATTCAAAGTGTAAGATTCTCACTTTAAAATGACATTTACCTATCTTTTGGCAAAAGGCAAAAGGAGAAAATAAATCACATATAGAGACCGTTTTCAATGATATTTTATTTTCTGGAAAAACTGATGAAAGACAAATTTTTTAAATCAAAGGCCTCCATGTCACATGATTTATCTACAAAATACTCCATAATAAATCAAACTATTATTGGGTCCTGGTGGCATACTGTCTTTGGTGACTTGTGCCTTATAAGGAAGTCCTTTCTTTTTCTTTTAGATTTTTCCTAAAGATTCTTTTTTTTAAATTTATAAATCATGTTTATTCTATTATAGTTGTCTCAATTTTTCCCTCTTTACTCCCCTCCACCCATCCCACCCCCACCCCCTGCTCCCATAGTCAATTCCCACTCTGTTGTCCATGTCCATGGGTCATTCATACATGTTCTATGTCTAGTCCCTTCCCCTTCTTTCCACCATTGTCCTCTTTCCCCCTCCCCTCTGGTCACTTTCAGTCTGCTCCATGTTTCTGTGCCTGTGGTTTATTTTGTTCATTAGTTTATTTTGTTGAATAGAGTCCACTTATAGGTGAGATCATATGGTTTTGGTCTTTCATCAACTGGCTTATTTATTTCACTTAGCTTAATATTCTCCAGTTCCATCCATGTTGTCACAAAAGGTAGGAGTTCCATCTCTCTCTCTCTCTCTCTTTCTTTCTTTAATGCAGATTGATTTTATTTATTTTTTTAAATGTCAAATTATAAAATATTTTTAAAAATTTAAAACCATTATAAAGTCTCAGCAATGAAACCAACATGATACCAGCACAGAAATAATCAAGTAGATCAATGAAATATTTAAGTTTGGTCATTAAATGCCTATGGATGGGATTCTGGGTGTGACTCATTTTAAACCAAATTTGGCTCTTTAAATGAAATCATTCAATAGGAATAGCATCCTAGTAGTTCAGAAACACACAATTCCCAGTTTCTGAAAGGATTACATTCTAAAAATCTGTTGATAAATTGACAGTTTAATATGTAATTTGGGAACAGTTTGAATTGCTCCCAAAGAGTTATTTAATCCAGAATATACCTGACCTATACAACCAACAGTTCTATTAGAAATAACACCAGTAGTATAGAATTTGAATATTCTCCACATTGTTTTTTAAGGGACCGTGAACAAGTTTTAACTGGGCCCTGACTAGAAATGTTGGCAACGAAGCTGCAACATCAAGAGATGCACATTGGGTCAGGGGTGTATTTGGGTGAGTGCAGTAGCCTCTCTTTGCATAAAGGAGCTCTCGGGAAGGCTGGCCTTGCCTTCCTTGACTCTCCTGCCTCTCCCCTCTCCACCAGCAGTAAGAGGACTGTTCTGGCCCGGGGCAAGCTTGTGTCTCACTAGAGAAAGGAACGCTTGCTCAAATGGCTTAAAATTCCACGGTCTTTAATATGATTATTGTAATTTTGGAGTATTCGTGTAAAACCTCAGCCATTGGGTTTGACTCCCAGCTCTGTTTCCTGTCCCCACACAGTAACGAAGTCAGGACTCACACGTGCACTAGAGCCACACTCTCTAACTACAGCCTTTTAATTTCTATAGACAACTTCTAACATGTAACTCTATACCATGGTTTGGTCCCCAGGGGAGAGCCCCATGGGAGGGAGGAGGACTCTAGAGTGGACACAAACATCAGGTCGCAAAGAAACTGGTCCCCCTGACAACTGCAGAGGAGAATAAACAAGTTCAGGGCTGTGTGTGTGCCGACTCTTAGGGCACTATCTCCCCTGCGTCCCAAGACACAAAGCGTGGGCACCATTCATTCATTTTTTTCATTTATTCAACAAACACTTATTGAACTCCCACTACGTGCTGGTCACCATGCTGAGCAGCACAAGCCCGTCACTGTGACTTGTCGTGCAGGAAGGACTCCGAGAGGATGAAGCGTCAGGGCTTCCCATGCACCAACACCCCTGGGTGGATGGCGGCAGTCCTTCCCGCCCCTGTCACAGCAATGGCCAGGTCTCTGAGAGGAGCCAGACAGAGGCAGGGGGGGTGAGGTGGGACAAGAACAGCTGGCTGCAGGAGCAGGGGGCTGCTTGTTAGTGGATGTGTGTGTGTGTGTTGGAGACGAAGGGGAGAGTATAATGTGTGGACGTCATACTGAAATCTCAAAACATTTATTTATAGAATCTGCTAAAAAGTTATCCGTAAGTCATAAAGGGAGAGCCTGAGGCCCAAAGAGGAATTTCAATCTGTTTCTTGAGGCACACGCTAGATGGCAGAGTCAGAAATGATATTTAAGACACACCTGGTTCCAAACACCGATGACCAATCACAGGGATGGTCATGTCAAAGCTTACAGTTTTAGGAAGAGTACCCTGTGTGAAAATAGCATAATTAAAGGATGTATTTAAAGAACAGTTTCTTCTTCAATAAAGATAAGCCCACGTCACTTTCTCAGGATTCCAAGTGAACTCCCCAAATAGTAAGGCCAGCCCACGTGGCAACTCAGAGAAGCAGGCAGGGCATCAGTAACTGCACCTTGTGCTTAAGCTGAGAAGTAACTTACAATGCAGCTTCCTTTTCCTTTAGATCTCTGGCTCTTTCAAGTTCTTCTGAATTTTCATGGGCATTTCCTAAGGTTGTCTTACTTCTCGGCATAAGGAAAAGAAAAAAAATTACAATTAATTTTTTAACAGCAAAGTTACTAATGATTTTGTTGCCATTTAAATCTCAAAGATGTTCCCCCCAACCCAAAAGAAACATGCACTATTGAGTTGTCATTGAGGGTATAAATTATACATGTTTCTCTCCAATGCTATCTAGAAAATCTATTCTCTTTCAAGGAATCCAACTGAGAACCTAGCTTTCCTAAAACTTCCACACAGGTACCAGCAATTAAGACGTCAACCAAGCTGTCCACCCTCCCATATCCTAAATGCCCCAAGTAAAAAGGAGGCAATTTAGGTTAAACGTCTCTAACTCCTACCACATTCATTGCTGCCTCTTTGCCAATTCATCTCACTTATCCAGGAATGGGGTCCTAGTCGCCCTTCACCTGCCAAAGCAATTCTTCATCACCTAGGGTTCCTTTTCCTGTTCTTAACAGATGAAATATACTTGTTCCCCGACTCTATTCCAAGTGAATAACTTAGTGCCTGGCGCATAGTAGATACTCAATAAATGCTTGTTGAATTAATAACCTGCATGGCTATGGGATCCTGAGTGCTACATCTGACTCGACTGTATTATATAAACATGAAGGGGGAAATGAGCAATGTTTTCCAAACTATGGAAATACGGATCATAATCCATTACTGATTACAAAATCAATTTAGTGGGTTGCAATCAGTAACATTTTTAATGAGATGAAAGAGAACATAGAATTATTACAGATAGTTAAAAGTAGATATGGTTTTAAAAAATTTTTTGTTTCCATTATACATACATGTACACATAACATATACCTGTGACTGTATGTATTGGGTTATGATATAACATGTACTTCTTACTGCGAGTCACTGTTTGAAAGCCATTGCTCTACAACAGCAATTTTCCATCAGTGGGCCACGGCAGGCACACTGAGTTTCCACGAGAATTTTTAAAACATGTAATACCTGATTATTTAGTCAGGGGCACTGATCTCCTTTCCCTTAGACTGTCAGATAAAAAGATGACAACAGGCAACACAGCAGTAGCTGTCCAGTGTGAATGAATCAAAATTATACCTATTTTTTGTCAGATCAGCAAAAAATTATATTTTTTGGTGTGATACAGAATTTTAATAATTAGTTTGTGTGCCATGAGAAGAAAAAAGGTTGAAAATTGCTGCTGCACAAGAAAAGGAGTTAGCACTGATGTGGAATCAGTTCCACAGCACAAGGCAGCAGATAATTCAATAGTTTTCCCGACAAGGTCACTAAAAGCTATTCCTACGAAGGAGGCCCTGGTCCCTAAGTCTTTGAGAACAGTCTCATAAATGGTGGGCACTGCTTCCTAGTCACCCAGAATGCAAAGATATCCAGGGCAACCAATTCCCTCTCCTCCGCTCCTAAAAGAGTATCCATACCCAGGCTTGGAACAATAAAATAGTGACTATTTTACACATACTGACACTGCATTTGACACCATGGGATTATGCAGAGATGGATATTTTTGACACATGACATATATCGGCAAACGTAAGTTTTACAGCAAATGAAGCATTTAAATGATGATAATGGAAAGTGTAGCATATGACAAAATACATTACAACAAATTTTGAATGTCAAACTGAAAACCTGAGCTTGACAGCTCCACTTGGCATTCAACCCAGAAAACAGAGAAGTAATTGTGCAGTGACATGGAATAATCACACATGAGAGCAGAATGGGAAAACTGGGCTTAGGGATGAAGAATTTCTAACTCCTTTGGGTCTGGGTGAGAGAGATTCTTCAGTCAGTTTCCCTGAGGCAGAATGCCATTTTCTTATGGCAAGAAAATTAGCAAACCCTCCCCTCCCCTGCCCCCCCACCAGGAAACAGGAATAAGGCTGTTTTTACTTTCTATCCATGTCTGAAGCAGCAGCATAGTGCAAAGCTGTCCGTCCCCAGTCATCTGTTTCATTAACGTTGGCCCCTGTGGTCACTAATGTCTCAATACAGCGTAAATGACAATTTGCAGCTGCATAGTGCAAAGGGGTCCTGGAAAACAAACAGCAATTTATTACTTCATTCAGCCTGAAACAGACCCATCCTCAGCGCTAGCACTGACAGCAGCATACCTAGCGGTATGGAGAGCTCTCCGTCTCTGAGTGTGGAGGTTATGGGACAAGCCTTCCTTTGACTTGTAAATTGCAACTGAGGCTATAAAACCACGAGCCTGGGCAAGGACGGCCACCTGCAGATCTTTCTTTCTGTTCCTCTTGCCTGTCCTGGTTCAGGTCTACATTACTGCTCATTCGCAATATTGCAAAACCATCCCCACGCCTCCTTATCTCTAATCAAACTCTCATTTGAATTTCTAGTTGTTATGAATAAAGAATTAGGTTTCCTAAGGTCCAATACCCACATATGACAATTGTGTCCTAAAACTTGTGGCCCTCCCCACTGAACAAAGCCTTGATTGCTTAGTCTGAAATTGAAGACCTTCCTGAGCTGGTCCCAACCTACCTTTCTGGCGTCTCTCTCTCTCCTCTAGAGAAGCCCTTTATTGAATCCGAATGGAAGGACCTGAGGTTTTCCTAGCATGTCCACACTTCCCTCTCCCTTTGTCCCTGTTGTTTTCTTCCCTGAAATGTCCCTTCCTGAACCACCTCCACCCACCCAAACCCCCCTCATCCTTTAAGTCCAGCATCTCTCTTTCCCTTTTGTCTGAGATTATTTAGCTCCTGCCTGGGCTTCTCTTGCGCTCCCATCACACGTTGCCTTGATGTTAGCTATAGGCGTTGTCTCATCTTCTCCACTGAACTGTAAGTTAATAGGAGGAACAATGCACAAAGAATCAGAAGCCCTGGGCTCTGGTCTGGGCAGAGCTGCAGGCTGGACCCAACCACATCCCCTGTCCAGGCCTGGGCGTCATCCTTATGTCTGTAAGGACGTTTGAGCAGTGTCCGCTAAGGTCCATTCTAGGTCTGAAATTCCATGTACATGTATAACTTGTTTAGCTTCTCTGGGCTCAGTTTTCTCATCAGTTAAAAAGGATAATAATCATCTCCATATACCTCATAGGGTTACTTTGAGAAATCAAGTGAGTAACATTTAGAGAACACAGTTCCCCGTAAAGCATAAGGCTGTGCAGAAATATGATTTATATTACTTATTTTTAGCCCTCAGTTATTTAACAGTTTATCTGGTGCTCCGAGGCAATTTTCAGGGAATAATAACCAAACAGCATACTAGAAATAAGAGTTACTTTATTTCAAGTGCTATTCATCAATTTTCAACTATTTTATATCTTGTAGTCAACTGAAGGGCTCTTTGACTAGTTGATTTACTCCTCTTTTAGCCCCAACTAAAAAGGAAATTATAAATATTTTACATATTGGATTGCTTGTGTTTTTATTAATTAAACTGAAAATTATTGAGTATCAACTATGTGGCAGAGCCTGGAGCTAAAGAGAAAATGAGGCTCAGTCCTTGCCCTCAGGAGACCTCCAGTCACGTGACGAGAGAGGCACGGAAAGAGAGTCCACCGCAACAGTGTGCTGTGTGCTGCAGTCGTGCAGGGTGCAGGGTGGGCAGAGAGGAGGGGCGCCCTGTCAGGGTGGCAGGGAACTGTCACAACAGAAACCTGGACGGATGGGTACGAGTTGTCCTATGTCGGTTAGTAAGAGAAGAAACCTGTAGCAACGTCAAGAACCAGGGTGTATGTGTAGAGGAGGAGAGAAAGGTTATGCAAAAAAACAAATTAAAATTTAATTAAATGAATAAATGTATATCCATGAACTGTGGTAATATTATGGCATGATTTAGCTATGTAAAGGACCAATAAGGTAAGAAAAGTTCTATGACCCATTATTGGTGGTGGTGGTATGTGTTTAATGTTTTAAACATGTCTGAAGATTTGTCCCACCATGAAATGTTCAATAAATATAAGAAAATGCTCTAGATCTTGTGGCCACATTCTGGCTTAGGGGGCCTAAAATGTTCCACTCTGCTGTAAACAGAAGTTTCCAAACTGTATCCATGTAGAAGATTTAAAAAGGAGGGAAGGAGAAGACAGACAATTGGCACTTGTAAACAGAAGCTGTGAGAGATGCTTTCCTTGTGGCTGGTACCTGCTTTCGGCGTTTCACTACAAGAAGGGGTTTCCCTCTGGGGAGGAAATCTCCCCAGCTAGCTTCCCTTTTACTACTGCAACATAACATGATTTCCAGACGGACGGCTCCCTGCGTCTTTCATTTAGGCACTTGAAGCAGAGTTCCCTGTTTACATACCTCCCGCACTTGTCCTTTTTATGGAAATCTGCTCCACTGCTCTGCAAGAGTTTTATACATTCCACATTACTAGAAAGACAGGGAAAACATCATTAAGGTGGCAGAGGTGAATTGCTGGGCTATCTTCAGAAAGAGTTGTGTTCTGCAGTGTGCACTTAGAAATAAATCAATACTCCCAGCTTTAAATTCTGCTAACACAAAAATAACATGGCCATATTAGACTAATGCCATATGAAGGATCTAAAGTTACCAAAATTATTTTTTCAAAGCTAATAAATCAATACATGAAAGAGCTTGATGAAACATTTTCAATCCCATGACTATGGAATTTCATGATTATTATATGATTAAACCTTTCCATGATGGTTTCATCATTTATCCTAAAATTCTCTTTCCAAACCATCAAGAATTTATGAAACAACCCTTTAAATCTATAATAATTTCATTTCACCTTTAAACAGTGAGCCAGAGTAGATGAGCATTATTACCTTGTATCACAGCAGAATGAATTCACCATGTTAACCATTTTCGAACCAGACTCTCCTTAATGGGAAATAAAACAGCTGCATTTCCCTGTCTTTTTAATCTAGGTAAATGAATGTGCAGAACCAAGGCCAAAAGTGATGTAATGGAGCATAGTGATCTTCCAAAGCTTCTTTGTCATTTGCAGAAGCAATAAATCATGTTTTGTAGAAAGCAAAGGACCCATTGAAGTGAATTTTCCTATTGAAGGGCATGTAGCTAAATATTAATTTTAATAGGAGTTTCAGACTCCTATTATGAATGCAGAATGGTGTGTAGTCACTTTCTGTACATGTCTGATATTTTTTAAAATGTGGGATTCAAAACAGACAATCATCCGTCATTGTTCTAAACTTAGAATGCTAAGAAGTGGCCTAGGATTTACGGTTTTATCATCACTTAAATAAGAAAAATGACCTCATTAATGATAAACCTGAGCAGAGCAGGACTCTCCCCACCCACATCCGCCCTTTATTGCCACCTTTCTCAGAGAACTAGCAGTTTCAGTCATAAAACATAAGAACTTTCTGAGACTAGTAGGTGTTGGTGCAGCAGGCCAGTTGATGTAAAGCACCTGTCCTCTCTGAGAAGCCAAAAGATCAAAGGCAGAGGCAGATTCCAGGAGTGTAGCTCATGAAGCTCATGTGATTTGGGGGAATGAGGTGAAGAGAAGGAGGCTCTTTTAAAAAATAATACAAAATTAGGAATATAAAACTAGATAAAAGACTTTGGAAGGGAACCATGCAAGTAAGGGGCCCTAAAGCTCCACAGCTTATCTATCCACTTCTGATATACAGATAAATGGAGAAGCGCTGCTATTCCTTAAGGACTAGGAAGTTGATTAAGAACCAACATCTTACCCAAACAAAGCTACCTGAGAGAGGTCATGTTTGGGTGATGCGGTCATATATCGACAATGTATTGATCAGAGCCTTAATGTAACTGCTGACATGAAAAAGAGCATCTGATGAAAAATTCTTTGCAATTAAAAAAAAAGGCAAGGATTAATCCCTTCTTTCTTATCCTTTGGGTTTTCTTAATTGTTGTTCACATTTAACCCCTATAAAGACCAAAAATCAATTTTGAAATAGGGACAAAAATGTATATAAATGAATATTTATTAACTCAATCTTGGATTCCCTTGATCATCGCCAACCTACCAGCAAAAAAAAAAAAAAAAAAAAAGGAAAAACTTAAAAAAATCGCAAATTTTTTTCTTTTAGTGTAGGGAGTACAAAGTAGATGCATATTCTGCAGGGTGAAAATCTACAATTGAAAAATGGAAAGAAAAGAAAGTAATGAGAAAATAAAACCAATGAAGAACAATTTTCTATATGAAATGGACTAAGATTTTTCTTTGGAAGAACAAAAATACAAGTAAATCGGGAAGTGCAACAGTGTTATTTGGTGACAGTATATATAATTCTTACCCATTTTACTAAGGAAATTGCCTTTGAATCACAGACAACTTAGGTCATTTAAGATGAGTTAGTAATTAAGTCATGAAAATAACAGCTAAAATTGCTAACTACTTACCCTCCTGCAGCAGCAGCATGAAGGCATGTTCTTCCAAATTTATCTGGGGTGTCTATTTCAAAGCCTGCAGACAGCACGTGCTCATTACTAAACAAGGACACTATGCTATACTTTTGTCCTAGTTAAACCACAAGAAACATTGCAGAGACAGAAAAATCAGTTAGTAGAAAAACCAGAACGCAAGCAATTGTAGTCAGAAAGAGGTTGTCATGGAAACGAATGGTAACTGCTCAAGCTTGGCAATTTTATAGGAAGAACCGTGAAGTCAAGAGGAATTTATTTTCACATTCAGCTCTGGGTGAACCACAGCCCCATATTTCAATTCCAGGATAGAAATTTATGAAACCAATTTGAGATAAGTAGGGCAATAGACGGACAGACAGAACACATGGAGAAAATATGGAAGGTACAGGAATCATCTTAACATGCTGGAATAGGTATTGTCTTAATATATTATTAGCTTTCAGTTGGTTTAAGGTCTGGGAAACGTGCTTTCATGCAGGGGTTATTTTTAAACATGCCAAAAGCAGGGAGAATGAATCAACCATACGTAAAGTACTTAAAGGGAAAAAAATGCCTCTGGAGTATCTGTTGAATTAATTCATAAACAATCTTTGCCTTGCAGATCTCTATCACCTTTGAAAGCCAGGAACTTCTTAATACATGGAGGTTGGCAGAAGCAGTGATAAGAAAGATTAGCAAAGCTCCAAACCAGAAGGAATTTCTTGGTTCCAAACAGGCCCGCATTAAAAAAATAAAAATTAAACCTAGTTGGAGGGGATCAACCGTGGTGATTTTTCAGAGCCCACAGAGTGGGATGGTAGCATGACACTTTTCTGCTGTCAAAACACGGGGGATTTGGCTTCTTTCCTTTGTTGAAAAATATTCAATGCTAAGCCACCATTTTAAGCTTCAAAGAGGTTTTCTCCATTGATGGCAAATTTTCTGTAAGCTCTGGCCACCCCTGTGTGTCTCTCACTCTGGATCACCCAAGCTTTAACTTGATAAACAGACAAGACTCTCATTCAGGGGCAGGAATACTGACATTTCAACAGCTCAAACAGCAAGGGCTGCTGGGAGCTATCCCCAGAGCAGGTAATGAATGACATGAAGCACAGCCAGCCACTCACTCTGACCAGACACCTGACGCCACGTGGCTCACGTAGAGGACACATTGAGCCTCATCTGTGATCATGGAGTTACTTACCCGATGATAACAACTTTCTGCAGCAGTCAGAGTGAGCGTTTAGGGCAGCTAAATGTAAGGGGAACATGCTATGGATTCCACACCTGGGGAGGAAAAAAAACAGAGCAGCTCACAGTAACCGATCTCAAGATGCATGCGGAAGGACATTACCTTTCCAGAAGTTCTCTGATGAAAAGCAAGTCCACAGCGCCTCGCTTAGGGACTCTTGGCTGAAATAATTGTGTAATTCCTCTGCTTGAGACATAATTATGCAATCATTTTCTACCTTAACATAATAAAGTCCTGGACCTAAATCAAGGTAAAAGCCCACAATGATAGATGTAGGTATTTTAAAGAAAATGTTTCACATATACATATGTGGCTCTTTACCTTTAAAATTAATTTCCTTTTCTTTTTTCTTTCAGGTTAGCAATTTGATGTCTCATTCATTCATTCATTCATTCACCTATTCAATACTTTCTAAGTATCAGATACTATGTGAGGTGCTAGTGATAAGACAAACTCTCAACGCCAAAAAACAACCTGCTTTATTCCATGAATTAATAAATAAATATTTACTATTGACCTATGATGCGCCAAGCACTTTGCTAAGAGTTAATAATGACTGGATTATTGAAAATAAAATTTTAAATGAGAATAGCCATGGTTTACCTTTTGCAAGTAAAACTTTATCTTCCTAGTCGACTTTTATATTGCACATTAACCCACATCAGGATACCAGTCACAAATGCAGTTTGAAATAGTAAACATCCTCTTGCATATATTTCATAAATCTAGCACATTTTCCCTAGCAATATGACAGAAAGAATCCAGAAGAGCACTTTTCAGACGGATCCCCCACCATCACACAGTCCCCAGGACGTCCCTAAGGGTCAGGCAGCCCTGTGATGGCAGCACCCTTTCGCCTCCAGAATTAAATCTTCCTCTTGCCCATCATCTCTCCTCAAACGAGGACCCAGAGCCATGTGCTGAACTGTAATTCATAATAAACAGCCTCATCAGGAGATCCCTGTGTACTTACAAGCATTTATAAGGTTAGTGACCACTTCTCATAACATCTCATTATGTTCAAATAAGAGATTTCAGATTTTGTAAATCATCTGCATAAAACAAGCAAGTATGTCCATTTACATCTGCAGGATAAATTCCCTAAGTTTCTTCTCTGGCACCAAGTGGCCTGTTTTGATTCTACACTTCATAAAAAAAAAAAACACATATGATTTGAATTTAAGTTCTGGATACATGAACTTTATTTGCTATCTTCAAAGTTATTATGATGTGTGTGAATGTGTGAAAGTATATACAGATTCACATATATTTCATGGTATTCAGTGTTCTGCGAAATCTCAGTCTGCCAGCAACAAACTACCTCTCTCCTTCCCTGAAAACTTCTTTCTGTTTATTGGCGTTTTTGTTCAGTCTTCCCTCTGTTTGCTTTCTTTTCCCTATATGGAAATTTCCAACCCCGCGTATATAATAGCTGGCATCCATCAAGAGATGCAATTTGCCCGTCTTCCGGGCAGCGTCATGTGCAAGAGAACTGCTTGTAATTGCCTCTCTCATCATTTACAAAAAAAAAAATTCTGAAAAGCAATTGCATCAGTGACATCCTTGACGCTCATGAAAAGGAAGAATGTGTTGGAAGGTGGGAGGGAATCTTTTCTCTTTGGGCTGCTATTTATCTTGTTCTGTCTTGATACCAGTGAAACATAGTAATTTCTTTTAATGTATAATATGTTTTAAAAGCTTCTTACTAAATGGAACTTTAAGCTAATGAGATTTTAGCTAATCATTTTATTTATTTTGGGCAACTGAGGAAAAACTACGTGATTAAATATCTCTGGACATTTGCAAGAGGAAAATGGATAGAACATTTTCTAGGAGGTTTTTAAGTTCCTGAAAAAACATGCCTGAAATCAAGGACTGAACTGATCAAGATTTCTTTGAGCCTTCCTTATTCTTTTTATATATATATATATATATATATAATTAAAATATAAATATATTAATTTTTATATTATACACATAACACATATTTAGATCTACATATACACATGTCTATATCTATGGACAATATATAACATATAAAATATATCCTATATAAGATATATCATAATATATATTTCACAAGTATATACTATGTATATTTATATAAAATAATACAAGCAAATTAATTAGAGAAAATAGTATTAAATTCTATAAGAAATCAATTAGGAAAACATAAAAAGTACAAGTGATAATATGACAACAGTATTGTAACATATTTGATAATCTTCATTATCAATACTTCTAATCAAGCTTACCACTTAACACCATTGTGTTTAGATAATCATCATACTCTACACTAGCTACTTATGTCTTTTTCTTTTTTTTTTACTGTTATGTAAACCTCTGAGAAGACAAGGTAGGAAAAACTACTCTAAAAGGTCTAGCAAAAATTCTGACATATTTTTTATTCCATGGTAAATAAAAAATCACTACCTCATTTTTTAAAACATTAATTTAGACTCAAATTCTATTAGCCTTTGGACTTGAATATGTTGCTATGGTTCAAATAGAAAAACTGAATATCAGGTCAAAATTGGAAAGAACATAAAAGTAGAATTCAGGATCTCTGAATCACTTCAGAAATGATTCATGCATTTCAAAATAAAATTAGCCCCTTATTGTTATAAAATAAGATGGCTTTTAAAGGAAGGATCATAAAACCTTTAGCAGGGAAATTAGGATGTGACTGTCTTATAAGTCAAATAAGAAGGATCACTCTTACATCATCAGGTAGACATCCAGGAAGATCAAGAAATAAAGATGTCAGATAACACTAAACTTAACAATGCATAAATTACAGAAAAGAGGAGACCAGTTCCAGTTAAATTGGTACATTTATTGGACCAGTCATAAAGTTAATGGAACACATTTGTATTAGCTATTTCTAATTTAGCTGTTAGCTGGTATCTCCTACCCAGTTATTTTCAAATAAATGAGGTCAGAATAATTCGTAGACAGCTAACAGAGATGAAAAAAAGAACTTTTTGCACCATTAGAATATAAGTTATTTTAAGCATTTGCCTTGGCATCAAACACAGTCTGTCCCTTCCCACATCTGGTCTTTTCTGGAATCTTCCTTTAGGTCATATTGTAAAGAACATTGTGATTAAGGTGATGGGATCAGAAACTTTGAGTTCTATTTAGCTACTTGCTAGCTATGGGATGTTGAACAAGTTCATAACAGTTCCCTCATCCTGAAAGTAAAGATGACAACAGTGTCACTCTTACATGGCAACTGCAAGAATTAATTGAGAAAATGCACACAAAATACTAAACAGAGCGCCTGGCCCTTGGTAAGCCTTTACCACACACGTTAGTATTATTATTGCCCTCATAATCCTTATTAGCTTAGTTGGATAATCAGCAGTCTATGAGTTCTGAAGCTGTAATAAAGTTGTGCTTCCTTAAAATCAGGTACGTGAGTCCTTAAAAGCTGAGAATGAATGTGATCAGCTAGCACTTCTGTAGTCTTTCTTCATTTCAGAATCCTTTATGATACCTCACAACTCTCTTCGACGGAATTGGTTTAGTTTTGCCCACTGAGTGGACGAGACAAAAGCATTTGATGATTTTTGGTCATCAAATAATTTTATGATTCTTAACTCTACTGATCAACCCAAATCAAACAATCAATTTCTTATTGTTTTTATTTATGTCATTTAAGTATTTATCATGTGCCCTAAATTATAGCATTTGGGCGTAGCTGACAACAATGGGGCCCGGTCCTTGGTGTCTGCAGCCCGCAGGCATTTTCAGTGATTCCTTTTGAATAAAGTCCAAACCCGAATGCGGCTTACAAGGCCCCTTCTGCCTATAGCCCTTCTCAAATTAATCAATGCATCTCAGGGTCTGGGGGAGGAGCTTTCACTGAAAAGATCTTTGGGCTCTCAAGAGTCCTCTACAAAGACTTTTAAACTGTCTTTTCCATTCAATGATAATCTAAAGCAGTTAGCACAAAAGCATCTTTGGCTTCACCTGAACACCACCTTACCACTACATACTTCTGCAAATCCAGGGCCCGTGTTTGCATTTAGGACCCCATGATGCAGTGGAATATTACTTTAAATGGTAGGGGGAAGTAAGAAAAATAAAGGTGGACTTAACAGATAAATGATGTCTGAACCTAGGGCGGGCCAATGATAACGCAGCATACCTTCTGTATGCCCAGTTTGGAGCTTATTTGTGCTGTGTGGCGAGTCCACTGTCCCACCTCTTTAAGCCGCTGCAGAACCTCCACTCCTGCAGCCCATACTAAACCCTGAAGAGCCAGCACCACAGCCAACAGCACCACAATACCGTACAGGCGGTAATTTAATTTTGGTAAAACAAGGACTATCTCATCTTTCGGTACTTGGAGAGACAGCAAGCCTCGTGCTTAGGAGCTGAGGCTCAAGATCCAGACCGCCAAGGATGGAGTCCCATGTCCACCCCTCACAAGCTTTGTGACCTCTGGCAGGTAACTGAACCTCTCTGTGCCTCATTTACTCCACCTGTAAGATGGTGACAGTCATAGCACTTAGTCCACAGTGTTCCTGTGACAGTTAAATGACACCGCTCAGAGCAGTGCCTCGCATGGGTAAGCACTTGTGAATGTTTGCTACCATTGATTGCTAATCTGTGCAGTTCAAGTGACTATTGTTTGCATGTGTCTTGTAATATTTTGGATTCATTGACATGTTAAGAGTCAAAAGCTAGGGAGTTTCTATCTACTCTTATGCTTATACATATTCAAGTAACTTTATAATGAAAATAATTTAAGTCCATAATTGGGTCTGCAAGACTCTCAATACCGTGGCCTCACTAACTGCTACTCATCCTCCATCTCCCTTAGCCATTGCTCCTCCCAGAAGCCCTCCTGGCTCCGCTGTGTCCCAGATACTCCCCCTACAATGTCTCAGTCGCACCTGGCAATTGTTCCAGCATCACACTTAGCACGCATGCTCATGGTTGCTTGCTTCATGCTTGCCTCCAAGAGGGACCTCGGTAACCCCAGAGCCTGACCCAGTGGGCTCTGGGTTGAAGGCAGTTAATAGGCCTTCAACAACCATTTAGTGAATAAATGAATGTCAGAACAGTTACCTGCACAGCTACAACTTCCCCAGTTCTGCTGCAGTTGAGGCAGAAAGAGAAGTGAGAGCATAATCGGTCAGGTGGGAGAGAAATTAAAACCCTAGAGACAAGTGCCCCAAACCTAAAAAAGGTAAAGAAGAAAAACCAAAGGGCTTTGACATCACATAAAATTACATAAGTCAAGCTGCAGAAAGTGCTCTGACTTAAAGAATTCAGAGAAGCAAAAAGAATAACAAATAACATTCGATCAAGGGCTGAGAATAAAATTCAAATAAATTTGTAAGAAAGCAATGTTAAACTTGCTTTCCCATAAAACTTGTTATATAGAGATCTTTTAAAACACACTTGGCCATATTGTTTATGAATGAAAATGGGTTATTTTCATAAATGTTATGTGTTTGTTTACTTATTTATAGAAGGAAAGGCCTGCTTTTCTCCCCATTAATAAGGTAGCCTACATAGATCTAAAGGAAGCCCAGATAACAGTGATTTTCGGTGGGGTCAGAGGGACGGGGTCAGAGGGCCTTTAGTAATCTCCAACTCTCCTCCCCCTTATTTTGATCATTTCCCCTTAGGTCCTTCAAGATGTGGCTCTCCCTGCCTTTCCCCCTCATTTCTTTCCACGCGTCCCCCCCACCCCCACCCCCACCCCACCCCCGCACATCAGATAATCCAGCCTTGGGAATTTGCTTTCAACACATTCATGTGCTTGTGCCTTCGAATAGCTTTCCTCTTCCTGGAACATCCTTTCTTGTTTCCCCCTCTGTCTTTTTACCTCACACAATTCTATCCACCTGGCAAGCTCCTATCCATCCTTCCTTTTGCTGAAATGTCCCCTCTTTTGCAGGATCCAGAGAGTCACTGTTCCCACAACCTGGTCCAAACCTCTGTCATAACAAACCTCATGAAATCGCAGTCATTTGCCCTTGACTTTTTCTCCACCACTAGACTAGGAGCCCAGAAAATCACTGAAACCTATCACATTTCCCTGGACCATTTACATTTTGGATCACTTTTCAAGCAAGACTTTCAATTCTGTTCCAAAAAATTATCAAATAAAATAAAATTCCTCATAATATACTGCCCTCGATTGTTCTTCACTGATAATTCAGTTATTGTTACCCACAGTCTCTGTGATCAAGGCTAAATTCTTTATTCAGGAATCTAAGGCTCCTTTTTAATTTGGTCCTACTACATATTCAATAATAAAATAATAGTTAACATTTATCGATAGCTTATTTTGTACTGGGCAATGTTCAAAGAGCTTTTAACATGAATTATCTTGCTTAATAACCTTAGCAGATGTATTTATTTAATTCATACAGATCTTCACCAATTGCAGAAGGCTTTACTAGTAATTAAGTCCTTTAATCCTCATAATAAACCAATGGGTAAATACTATTATTATTGAATACTTTCTCTTTTTTTTAAAGATTTGATTTATTTATAGAGAGAGGGAAGGAAGGGAGAAAGAGAGAGAGAGAAACATCTACTGGTTGCCTCTTGTACGCCCTGCACTGAGGACCTGGCCCCCAACCCAGGCTTGTGCCCTACCTGGGAATCAAACCAGCAACCTCTCAGTTCGTGGGCTGGCACTCAACCCACTGAGCCACACTAGCCAGGTCTATTATTGAATACTTTCAAATGAGGAAACCAACGCACAGAGATATTGAGCAACTGGCTCAAGGTCACACAGGTCACAAGCAAAGTAGCTTGGATTGGAACCCGTGAGAGCCTGGGCCCCCGTCCGTGACATGATACTGCCTCTCTGAAGAGCATGTCATCATCACACACACCCCATCAGGCCAAACACATCCCAGAGGTGACTCTTTTTATCTTTTGTTCCTGCTTTCTACCCTGCTAGGGGTGTTTGCCACCCTCTGCTCTACTCAAATAATTCTCATTCTTCCAAGCCTACTCAAAACCCACCTTCGCCTGGAAGGTTTTTCTGAAAACTTTGGCCACCTGGGAGCTCTCCCCTTCCTGTCCACAGTCAACGGTACCTTGACTCCACCAAACATCTTGCCACTCAAGGCCTGTTTCACTTAGAACTCTAGTATATACTATCTTGCATGGTCCTTTGTCTTAGGTAGGCCTCTGGCCTCTAACACAACTATGGCCTCCTGGAGGTGCCAACCAGGTAACTTACTTCTGAAATTTTCCATAGCACCTGGCATTGTGACAGACTGGTATAGATGCTTGATTTATTTGTGCTGAATTGAAGTGTGAAATGAAGTCAAGTCCCCTTCCCTGAATAAATTGTGAATTTGTCCACTTCCATTTTATTTTCCCTGCTTAACTGACATTGAACATGGGAAAGAACAGAAGACTATTACAAACCAGAGTTAAGAATAAAGTTCAAGTTTCCTTAATTAAAACCACTGGAATAGGCCCCTTTTTGATGTGGCTGAAAAATAAATTTGATTCTTCCTTGCATGTGTCACTACAAGTCACTGAATTTAGTCCAAAATTAATTTGTCTTTAGCATAATGGTACAGATCCACCTTAACCTGGATGAATGGGACATATCTCCTGCATGGCAGAACCCTTTGGCAGCATTCCCACAAGAGGCAGTTATTCCACCGTATTTTTGCAGTAACCTACTTGGCTGTGTCAGCTCCGCTGGTTATTAGGGTGTTAATCAAAAGCTCATGACCGTATCTTGCAGCCACGTGGAGGGGAGTGTTGCCATCCTTATCCACACAGTCGATTTCACCTCCTGGAAGAGATTTTTAAATGCAGGATAACATAAGGATTCAGGTTGATTCAGATACTACCTCCTATGCTAGTCATTCATGTTGATCAAATGCTGATTTCTTTTCTTCCCCGTGTGCATCTCTACACCGAAGTATAAGAACGCTGTTCAAGGGAACAAGTCACCATCTGAAATAGGAATATTATTAAGTCTGCATAGAGGGAGGTCTATTAGAAATGCTTTCGAAAAGTCCTTCTATGTTGTCTTATTTAAGGGTCTAAAATCTTACAATTAGGTTTCTGCTCTGAAGGAACAATGTAATCAAATTCCATTAAATATAATTCTGAAGACATTCAATTTTAATTTTACGTGCTGAATTAAAGACTTACGTAAACCTTATACTAAAGCATAAGAACCAAAGGAAATAGAGAGTTTAGGAAAATATTTCATGTAGTTTGATTATCTAGTATAAAATATGATGAGTAAAATGAATGAAATCATAAATGATGAACTGAAAATATCTATATTTATATATTTTCATTGTATTTTGTTTTATTTTGCCTTTTCCCCAACCTTTTATTTTACTACATTTCTTTCTTTCCTCTTTTTATATCTATGTAAATATAATTAGTCTATTTATTTGTGTATTTGAGAAACCACTTAAAAATAAGTTAGGTATATATTTCACCCCTCAGAACAAAACATTCTCCTACATAACCATAATTCTATCATTATGCCTGAGAAATTTAACATTGATACAGTAATTTTATATAATATACAGTGGATATTGCAATTCTCTGTCTCAAAAATGTGCTTAAGAGCTATTTAAAAAAAAAAACAGCCAGCATCCAATCAGAAATTCTGACAGCATTTGGTTATCATGGCTCTTTATTTTCCTTTAATCTATATCTTCTTGCCCTCTGTTTATTTTTAGTTTCTCATGTCATTGATCTTCTTGAGTCCTACAGAATGTTCTGCATTCTGGAATTGCCTGATTATTTACTCATTACTAGATGCAGACTAAACATTTTGGCAAGACTACACCAGAGTTGATGTGCACTCCCCATTTCATCTCCTCTGCAGACACATAAGGTCAAGCTATTCCATTACTGACAATGCACATTTTAACAATTTGTAATGGCTACAGAGTTTGTTTGTGAATATGAAAAAGTTCTAAAAATGGATGAGTACACAACAATGTGGATGTACTTAGTGCCTGAATCATACACTTAAAAATAGTCAAACTGGTAAATTTCATGCTGTCTGTATATCTTACCACAATAAAAAAGAGGTGTAATAACTTGGTTAAGATGATGCCCGCCAGCACTGTTCACTGCAAAAAATGTCTCTGCTCCTTTGTAATTAACAAGCAATTTGTGTAGTGCTATTTTGGGCCTGTTTAAATATCCTATTTCCCAACACGTTTTCTGGCAACAATTATGGCATTTACAGGGATTAGTTTGTTCAAAAGTTACCTGAATTCTTTATTCCGAATGCTTACTATTACCAACTTAACAAATAGTTAGGTTCACTTGATCCTGTTTGTTTTCAATTTTTTTTAGGGGGGTCACTTAATTTTATCTTATTAATATGTAAAACATTTATATGTTTCAAAAGTCAAAATTTGGTTTTTAAAAAGCCTCACGCTCGTTCTGTCGCTTCACTTTGTCGTCAATCGCATCCTGTAGCAATCATCTTTATTAGTCTTGGCTTATGCTTCCTGTGTTTCTCCGCAAAAATATACTCTTTTACCCCTTGCTCTTTGTATTTTCACTTAACAATATATCCTGGAATTCACTTCTAGGGATTACTCCTTGGAGATCTTCCTCGTTTTTGTACAGCTGTATTGTTTCCGTTGCGCGGATGCACTAGCTCAGTGCACCAGTCTCCGATGGGCGTCCAGGTCACAAATCCTACTTTTGCTATTATCAAGAATGCTGCAGTGAATAACCTCATGCATATTATTGCTTCATATTTGTTGGGTGCATCTTCAGGGTAAATCTCTAGAAAGGGGACTTCTAGGTCAAAGGGTAAACGAACATGCGGTTTTGTTAGATTTTGCCAAATTTTCCTCTTTAGGCCCTGTGCAATTCTGCAATTACGGACAGTAGCAATGTATGAGTGGGCCTTTCCCCCACAGCCTTGTCAAGCTTCTGAGTCCCTGCCACGTGATGGCTGAGAAATGGCATCTCAGTGTAGTTTCCACTTGACTTTGTCTTATCAACAAAGTTGAGCATCTTTTCATATATTGAAGAACCATTTGTTTACCTTTTTCTATGAACTGCTTGCCATTGACTTCTGCTCATTTTTCTCATTTTTCTGTGTGTGTGTGTGTGTGTGTGTGTGTGTGTGCGCGCGCGCGCGCGCGCGTATGTAAGGAGGTTCTTTTATTCCTTGATTTTCAAGGGCTCTTAAAATATTTGGTAGATTACCTACTTATCAGTTGCAAATAATTCCCCCATGGATTTCATTTTTATTTGGTATTTTACCCTAAAAAATTATTTTTGTACTGTATCAGTCTTTTCTTGTACTTAGATTTTAGGTTGTAGTTAGAAAGGCTTTACCCACACCCTGGCTTAAAGAAATTGACTTGTGAAAATATTTGCTACATATATTACTGATAAGTGGGTAATCTCTAAAATATTTTAAGAGCTCTTGAAAATCAATAAGAAGGAATTAAGGAAAATGGGGTGTGGCTCCTAAAGGGTATGAGGCTTCTTTGGGGGTGATGAAATCATCTGGAATTAGATAATGGTGATGGTTGTAAAACCTTGTGAAAATACTAAAATCCACTGAATTGTATATTTTAAAATGGTGACTTTTATGGTATGTGAATTATATTCCAGTTAAAAAGGAAGGGCCCGCAGAAAAAGTGAGGAAGGAAAGGAGAGGGAAGCACAGCAAGAAGAATAAAACAGTGTGTACTTGTGCTTATGTGAACCAATATGCATTTCTACTTCGATAAAAGAACACTCAGTATATTGGCACAGAATGTAAGTTATTTTGAGGTTCTGTTTCCTAGCTCTCTTGTTCAGGAACAAATCTCTGCATCATTATGGAAAGCAGTAAGTTACTAAATTGTAGCTCATGTTCTTGGGTATAAGGTATTTTAGAATAGCTCTCAGAAAAACTCAATTCACAAAATATTCTATGTATTTCCCTCCAATCTTGAACTTTATTCTCATTATCAATTAAACTGAACTAAAGGAATCTGGAATTTTAAAACTAAAGTATACCAATATAAGATACACTAATACTATAATGTTTAGTTTGTATATTTAAACTACATACACACATCTATACACAAGGCAAGGGCCAAAAAAACCCCAGGAATTTATTTATTAAAAAATTGTATATTCATTCTTACATGTTTAAACTCCAGTCTCCTTCAAAGTACTTGCTTAGCAAGAGGTTTCTTCCACTGCTCAACAGTTTTTGTACTTGTCAACTTTGATGCCTTTCAGTGTTTCTGCCATTTTTTGTTTCACCTCTTCCACATTGGCAAAAATGTTTCCCTTTCAGGATTTTTTTCATCCAGGGAAACAAAAAAAAGTTACTTGGGGTGAGATCTGGTGAGTAGGGCTGGTCGGGCACAGGAGGCATGCTGTTTTCAGTCAAAAACTGCTGAACACACAGTGCATGTAGGCAGGTGTGCTCGTAAATTACCCATCATGAAATGGGCGAACACACTGAGTCTTCAAACAAAAATTTCACTGAAGCTGAACACAGCCTCTCACAAAAACACCAGCTGACCCGCTGATACAGATGGGACCCTAGCACACTCGTCTAGCGGGGTAAGCCTGCACTCCAAGGGGCTGCGCTCCAGGAGACGATTCCAGTTTTGGGGGCCCCCCTCATTTGCCAGAATAAAAATATAAGATCCTGAGAAGTGTAAACATTATATAAATTAATGAAGTCAATCTAGGAAAATACTATATATTTGTTGTAAATAATTTATTTTTCATTGAGAGTTATTTTCTCTTTGTAGGAAATTTAGAATAGGCAATGAAATACAAACAAAAAAATAAGTCATCTGTAAATTCACTGACTATCCAAGATAGTTAGTGTTAATATTCTGGAAAATTTTCTTTTAGTTGGGCGTGTATGTGTAGAAATTTCTCGTGGTTGAGATTATAGTGTAGAAGGAGTTTTATATCCTGTTTTGCCCTTTAATATTATATCACATGGACTTCCCATGTCATTAATTTGTTTCATTAATGTTACCGTGAATGGCCATATGATTTGAGTATTTAGAAAATTTACTTAGCAAGGCCCTAATTACTAGGCATTTAGGCTATTCACAAATTTTGCCATTAAGAGCAACATTTCAATGAACATATTTATTAATAAGGTTTACCTACATTACAGATGATTTCCTTCAGCACCATTTTAAGAAGGAGAATTATTGGGTCAAAAAGTATGAATATTCTTAGGGCCCTTCCTGAACACTGGCAAATTGCTTTTGAGAAAGGCAGTGGCCATTTGCACTCCCATTCGCAGTATATTTGAGCATCACACCAAAAAGACACCATTGAGAGTCTTCTCAGACCTGGGGAAAGATCATCAACTTTCCAGCTAAGACACTGTCTCATATAAGAGAACCATTATGAAATCTTCATAGTAATATCTGTTCTATGGGCCTTCATTCTAATGAATTCTATTATTGGTAATTATTGACACCAGTTCCCTAAGATTTATTTTCAGCAAACAATATTTTCCTAGCCAGGTATGTTGGTAAAACTTAGAGTTTACTGAATAAGAATCTTTGTAACAAAATGAGATAATTACCAAATATGTGTGGGCTTTGTAGAGTGGACAAATGCTTCAAAAACTGCAGTTAGCACATACATTTACACAAGAGTTAAGATGTTTTACTCTACAGTCAAGGCTTCTGCATGTAGATTTTAACTTGAAAAATCAATCTACTACCAATAAGTTTGTGCTTAGAATTTGCAACTTAATAGCTGTTTATAATCCCCTTTTTACTTTGTGACATAGAAATATAAATGGCAACTTAAAGGCAAATACTGGTCTTTCCTCAAATCTTTCTTTCTGTAGTACAGTAGTTATTTTTTTTAAAAAAGTTGTTCATATAAATAGACTATAATCACTTCTGTAAAAGTAATAATTATATATCCTGATATTATGTATATACACATTCTTAAATGCATAGAAAAATCTGGAAATTTCACCAAATTATCAATGGGGATTTTGGGGATGGAGCTGGGGAGACATACTGGTGAATATCATGAACAATCTCTTTAATGATTTAATTTTATTTGACAGTAAGCATGTGCTAATTTTATTATCAGGAACTCAGTAGATTGTTAACTATGATTCGAATTTAGAAGCATTCAACTTACATCAATCATTTTTAAGACATGATGTAGCCTTGGGGACAGGCAGTAGCAATCCTGGGTACAGGGAACTGCCTGCACTGTCCACAATGGTCAGCCTGAAAGGTCCACTCAAGGAGCTGATCCAGGGAGATAGGGGAGGCAGAACCCTGGGCTTCAGAGAAGTCCTTGCCCTGAATACACACTAAATCACTCCAGCTCCTTTCTGAACAAACATTAGGGCTGCTTTGTTTGCCAGCCTCGAATATGCCAAAAATTGGGTAGAGAAAGAGAAGAATTAAAAAATATTGAAAAGAATGGAAAACAAAAGCTGAGTTGATAAAGTTTCTTCTTGTTGTACTATCATTTAAAACTGTAAAAATATAGATAACTTCCCCACACACTTTTATCGTCATTTAAAATATATTTCAAGAAGACATGATAACTTATTGGAAACGTAAATGACAAAATGTGTATTTGTTATTCAGAAATACGTTTTATATTAAAATAGGACTTCTAGATGAATGAATTTCCATTTTACAGTCACCCAAACCTTTCCATTTTTACCTAAAAACCTTTAAGACTTTCTTGGAATGAAAAATAAATACCTTTATTATTCATTTAATGCTTGCAAGTTAAATACTGGTAATCTGTCATCAATCCTTAGTGAAGAAAATAAGTATTTGTGGGTTTAGAAGTATGCAAAGCATGTCAGGGGGATAATTTATGCAACACTGTCTAAGCGTTCTCTGAAATTGGCTCTTCATTGCGCAAGCAAGGACGGTCATCTCCCCAAGCTCCCTTAGAAGAACTGCGTGCTAAAAAGCCAGAAATCTCACAATGTATCATCCTAGACAACCACTTGACTCCTCCTTTTCAAACTCAATTTATTTATAGAGCTTTTTGAAGAAAACATCATCTTGGAAATTTTGTAACCTTCTGAACAGCATCTGAGCCTCTGCCTAGTGCAACTGGCTGGATCCAATGCCTCCAGATACCATATTGTGTTTCCGCTCAGTTCCTTCCCTCTCTGGCTGTGACCACATAGCTTCAGACAACAAACAATGTGACCGAAAAGCAGAGGCAATCTTTGTTAACTAAGTAAAAAAATTGAAGAGGTTTGGTTTTTGTTGTTGTTTTTTTTTTTATGACTGTCCAAACAAAGCTGAATAATTCTGGGAAAAAAAGTTATTACAAAGAACTCATAACCCTGTTCAGAGAGCAGAGAAGCAGAGAAATGCCATACAAAGTCCAAACCCCAGAATGATTCAACAAAACAAACATATTTACACAAAGAATGTTCCTCAGTAGCATGTTCACTTGGTTCAGGGAGCCAACCGCTGTCCCCATGTGGGGCCGCCATTCCAGGCCCTGTTGTGCAGTGACCCATTCTGGGGGGCGGATGCGAGGCCCTGCAGGTGTGAGCCTCTGTATTTTTCCCAGAAGGAAACCAACAAACAGGAGGAAAGAAAAGAGCTTCCTACTCTTCTCCCTAAGGGCGTTTTAAAAATGTCAAATGGGAGAACTCGCAGTTCTCACACGTGAAATGAATGCAAAGAATTCTCAGCTGAGAGAAGAGAATGTGAGATTATCCTTTTATAGGGACATCTCTATTCCAAATATAAGTGACTCTTGAAATAAATAGAATTCAAATTTAAAATTTTTTTAAATATGTAATTGTTTATCCAGAAAACACAAAAGTATAGCAGTTAAAAATTCAGTCTCTGACGTTAGACTGCCTGAGTTCCGGTCTCTGTGGCTTAACATACCTGCCGTATATCCCAACAAAAGTCACTACCTCTCTGCCTCGATCTCCCCATCTCTGAAATGGAGATATGATAGCACCTCTTTCTTAAAGGGTGGTTGAAAGGATTTATGTGGGGTGCTTAGCCAAGTGCCTGGCACAGTGGGAACATTCAACCAATGTTAGCTTTGTAATTATATATAACGGGCTATATATTATAGCCACTACATCCCCATCATTGGAGACCCCTGGAGTCCATCCAACCAACAAGCAAGCTGCCAGGCCAGCCAAGAATGAGGCAGGCTCTGAAACAAAGCTCCTTGATCACAGAGGATGAGAGATGAGGTCATTTCAGCTCTCGTCCCAACTCCAAAGTCTAGCAAGAATGTCCAAAGAGGACATGGGAGTCTTCAGGCCCACAAGGCTGGCTTTTGGAGAGGTCAAAGCAGCCAGCACCCACCCCGTTCTCCACTGTGGGGGGCTGTTGCAAACGCACAAGCATGACAGAGGGGAGATGGGCCGTGGCCAAGATTCAAAGGAGATGGCCAGTATGGCCCGGCCCACAGGATGGACCGCGGGAAGGCAGTGCTCACAAGCTGAAAAATTGTTCTCCCTGGTCTGGCCACTGGTGCTTGAAATTGCTTTAATAGGGAACAAAGCTTCTTATCCCACAGAACTAAGGCCCATTGATTAAATTAATCACACTAAATTAAAAACAAAAAAATGGATATCAAATATTGCCCAAGTTTTCTTTATTTTTAAGGCAGGTACATTGTTTCTGAAAAATACAGAAACTTAGGAAGACAGCGGGGTAGAGAAACTGAGCAAAAGGCAGGCCCTAGGGTTGCTGCCACCTCCCCTTGTTCACATCCAGTAAAATAAAGCAATTAAAGTGGCTCTTCCAATACAGTGTATGTCAAAGGCGTACCACATATTTCAAACCAGGAAGAATGAGTGTGGTGCAGTTAATTTTCATTTTACTTCCTTGGCTCACTGGGAACTTGTTAGGATTTCCTTTCCCCTACAGTTTCACTGCAATGCTTATAAATTTCCATTGCTTTGCTGCAGATATTTTGCTTTCTAAGCATAATTTCGCAGGCTGGTCTTCCATCCAAATGTCAAATGACGGTTCGGTTTTATGACTCGAGTGTCTAAGATATAACTTAGTGCCACTAATAATTCAAGTGTACGTCATCTCAAATTCTTACTGATGAGGGAAAAATAGGTCCAAGAAAACTGACTGATGCCAGAATTTTGAGAAGTAGAAATGTGGGTCAACTAAAGATAGTTTAGGAACTGCTGGATTCACCTAGAATGTCAGCATAAAATCTGGGCTACACACCTGTTTTTTCTTTTTTCTTTTCAATTGTCTCTAAGATTCGCTAAGATAATAGGCTTGTTGTGTCAAGGCCAATCCACTCAGATGCCAGACAGGACCCCCGATGTGAAGTTTCTCCCAGGCTGGGAGAAACGACCCATTGGTACAAGGACACTGTTGCTGTGAGCCTGCGGATCCCTAGATTGTGACTCTCAAGGTCTCTATTAAGCATGTGGTTTTTATGATTCTTCACATCATGTATTATCTGATTCTCTTCGGAGTTGCCTCATTTTTCCTACCTTTGCCCAAGCAGCTCAATGAGTTTTAACTAAGGGAACTATGAGAAATTCTAAAATTTAAAAATAATTCAGATTACCTGCTACGAAATGTACAGAGCTTACTTTTATTAGTTTCCAAGTGAAAAGTGCAGGGCCTTGAGCTTTGATGGGTATATATATCATTTCTTGCCTCAAAATTCACTTGTTCTTTGACTGACTAGGAATTGACTGTTGGAATTCAATTGCTTCTATTGGCACTTCTAAGCTAGATGGTGATCATATATGTCTGATGAAGAGATTTTAGCAAAGTACACCAGAGGAAACTGTGTAAATTTGAACTAAATAAACTCTAAAACAGAGCATCATCTTTCAAGTTAAGATGGCTGACAGCCAAACGCAGACCAGAAAACTGTTCAAATAATGACACTGTGGAAGAGCCTCTTACCATTCTGAATGAGGGTTTGTGACCGTGTGAACCTTCCGTGGACAGCTGTCATGTGCAGTGGACTTTTGCCATCTTTACTCTAAAAAATAAGGGAGAAAGAAACAATGGGCCCATCATATCAATATGAAACATCCCTATAGATATTGTTGGCAATGGCCTGAAAATATCAATTTAAATTTTTAAAAATGTGATAAAAAATTGCCAGAGGCAAAAGATAATTTTAAAAGCAAAGGAAAAAGTATCTCAAGTTACTGCATAACATCACAGTGCAAAGAAGCCTCGAGAAGTGAATATTTTACGGAAGAAAAAACACAATTTCTAGTTATACTGACAATTTTTAAACTACCCTGTTTCAAATGGAAGAAATGATCCAAAACATTTTTTCATCCCTTGATATCTACTGATGAAGGCAGTTCCATCCAAGGTATTTTTTTTTCCAACTGTTGTCTATAGCACATGAAAAAAGGCAAATGATGTGTTAACTTGCTTGGCTCTGTTCGCCCTGAAGTTGACCAAACTGCTATAAATCAGTGCAACTCGCAAAACTAACCTAGAATCATCCACCATTCCATACATCTGATCCCACAGGAAAACAATACTTTTGATTGTTGCAGAAGAGAAATGCTGCTTCACTAAACTCATTAGCAATCATAGGATTAAGTCATGCAATTATTTAGCAAATTGCCATTTTAATGACTCTACCTGAAGTTGCATGATGAATTTATACATCTCTTTATTATTCAAGATATGTGATGTAACTTCCTGACCCAGATTAAGCCAAAACATTAAAAAATGTATAGAATCTAGATACTGATCATCATTACATTAAATATCAAAGTCCTTTTATGCTAAGTGAAATAAGCCAGGCGGTGAAAGACAAATACCATATGATCTCACCTATAAGTGGAACATAATCAACAAAACAAATGAGTGAGCAAAATAGAACCAGAGACATTGAAATAAGGAACAAATTGACAGTAACCAGACGAGAGGAGGGAGGTGGGTAATGGGGGAACGAAGGGGGAGGAGTCATCTAAGAACATGTATAACGGACCCATGGACAAAGGCAGCGGGGTGGGGGGAGGACTGAATGTGGGATGTGGGGGTGGGTAGGGCAGGGGAGAGTAAGGGGGGGAAAGGGGGAAAACTGTAATTGAACAACAACCAAAAAAATTTTTTTAACTGCCTGGGGGTATAAATAAATACCAAAGTCCTATACATTTAATTAAGAAATAGTCATTTACAGAATTTCTCCTTATGATATACGACCCCCCCCAATCACTGTTACTTTAGACCAAAGGTATCCTCAATAGAGAAAATGTATGCTTTCATTCAAGTAATGTAAGAAAAAAAAAACCCTATGTAATTGTTATTTTTCTAAGTCTCAGGAGAAACAATTTTCTTAAATCTGAGGTTAAAATATGCGGTTTCTAAAATGCAAGTTCATTTTTGTGATGAAACCCATATACTTGTTCTTTAAAATGGCTCTTTGTGTAAAAAATTCCACAGTGGAAAAGAAATAATTATTTAAAGGAGTGTTTCTCAGAGTGAACCAAGGACTACCTGCATGTAAATCGGGGTTTCCTGTCCTAAATGCGAATGCTGTGCCCTAGCCTGGGCCTGCTGACTCAGAGCTGGGGTCAAGGAACCCAAGGGTAACCTGCACAGCACCCTGCTTTAGACTGCGTGCTGGAATAGCTTATAAAACCACCCAGGTTTAACAGAGAATTTTTATTATATAAGTCTATTCCTCAGAAAGGAAGAAATAAGCTCACACAGTCTGCGCCACGGGAAGAGTGAATCAGAGCGATGGCTGCATCTTGGTTTAAAAAACCATCTTCATAGTGAAAGGTTCCCAGGTAGATGGAATAATATAAAAAAAAAAAAATAATAATAATAATATCTTTTCTCCATTTTATCTGATTATGACCTGAATCATAAAAGCCTGAGAAAGAAAGATGAAAGTAAACTTGAAGGTTTACTGAAAACGATGTTTTGGAGGAAAAGCAGCAGCCATCAAGGTAACAAACGCGAGATTCCGAAGCCATCACTGACGGGGAGACACACAGTGAGGAGAGCTCTTGAAAGCTGATTCCGGAGCCTGAGCCCTGGTGTCAGAAGTGTCCACAGTTTAAAGGACTGAACCTCTGCAAACTACTTGGGAGTAAAGATTCAAAACATTCCCCCCTCCAATAAAAAGGGTGATGACAAGCCAAGACCCATAAGGAGAAAGGAAACAGAAATTGCAGAGTTGACATTAACTTGTCCCTAGGTGGTGCTATTTCTTTAAATTTTGCTCCGATATTTTTTCTTAAATTTAATATGAAAACATAACTAATTAAGAGTTTTGTTAAATATATATATATAAAGCTATAAATATTTCAGTATTTAGACAATATCTTTATAAATATTTAACTAAGCACTTTTCCATTCCTACAAAATAGCTTAAAGGCTTTACCAAAGAGTAACCACCACCCTGGAGTCACTAACTAAATTACAGCCAGTGAGCCAAAGCAGAAGTAATGGGTCCCTCCCTCGTTCCCTCCCTTCCTTCCTTCTTTCCTTTCCACCCTCCCTCTTTCCTTCCTCCTTCTCTCTCTCTCTCTCTTCTCTCTTCCTTCTTCTCTTTCAGTAGGTACATATCATTTTTATTGCACATCTTAGTTTAGAGTTACTTTTACATTCCTAGACAAAGAGATGATACAAATACGTATCAATTGGTTTTCTATAGCATGTAGTTTACAAAGCTGGTCCCTTTTCAGGGATAGCAAGCACCATACCCTTTTTCTTCCTTGGAGTGTTTGTATCTTTGGTAAAGGGACAAATAAATAGGATGATCAAAGTTAGGTAAAATTCAAAAAACAATTTTATGGTCAATGGTGGTGCTTATTTCAACTGTATCCTTGCAAATCTTGGCCTGGATTCATCTGTCACTGAGTCCAGGCCATTGCTGATTTTTTTTCCCCCTCATAGGGGTATGGGGAGTGGGGACAGGAAGCATTATAAGTATCACAGCAGTCATTTTGGGGCAGTTTTTCAAAATATGTTATAGATGTAAAAGGAACTCTATTTCAAAAAGACACTGAATACTAATAAAGGTCAAAAGGGCACTACTTTTATTTTGTCTTTATGAGTTAGAACTCACAATATTGAAGTTGGGACAAAGGATCCTAATAAGTTTCATATCTGCCTGAGAAATTTTTCATATAGGGGGACTCTGCCGTTGTTGCTGCTGTTCTGAGAACTTCAGAGATAAAATATTCCTTGCATTCTCAAAGCAGAAGATATGTTCAGTTCTTCAATTTATTCAAAGCTTTGCTTTCATAAATTTTATTTTTTATTTCTAGTCTCCTTCCAATTTCTAGATGCATTTTCCTATCAGTTTCATGGCTTGGAAAATTTTGTTATTTTGAAGATTTATTTAATTAAGCAAAAAGTTCTTTTACTGATTCATAGTTCAGTCACAGACATGAAGAAAAACTAATGAGGATTAAGAATATTTTATGACAGATATTAATACTCTTTGAGGGCAGAATTCAGCAGCATCCAAGGAAGATTAATCCTTGGCCTAATGGAGTGTTTCAACTTCCTTGACCACCATTTTCCTCAGAAATCTGTTTATTCCTTTCTTCTGCTCCTAATGCCTTTCTTCCTCACCCTCCAACATCTCACAAAAGCTTCCCTAAACTTACACTCTTACTCCCAAGGGAGTGGAAGGCACTGTGTTGTCTGTGGTATGCTGCCTCCCAGAGCCACAGAGCTCAAAGGCCCTACTAAGATAAAGGGCAATAAAGTCTTCCTACTACAACACTAAGGTCACCTGGGGATGGGGGTCTAGATATAGTCAGAAGCCCAAAAGGCCTTCCTAATCCAATGGAAGAGCAATATAAAATCCTGGTTTGCAAAAAGGCCATACACAGTCCACTCTTTAAATGGCTTTAAAGGCCAGATATGATACATAGTTGGCTCAGACATTCACTCCTCTCCTTTCTTCACATGTTCTTCAAAGTTCCAAGTGCCATGTCCCTATCACTGCCTACTCCAGGTTCACCTTCAACCTTTGTGAAACAACCCTAATTCTATCATTTGGTCCTGGTACGTGTAAAGAAGGGAGCAGGTCCACAGTTCAGCACACAGGCGCTGGGCTTCAAATCCAGCCTCTCTTACGGCTGAATGATCTAAGAGCGCTCTGCCAGAAAAGAATTGAGGCCATGGGAGGGTGAGTGTTAGTGCCCAGAAGGGAGGCAGCCCGGCAATGGCAATTTCTACATCTAAGTCACGTGCCGCAGGGTTCTGCCTTCAGGGCCTGCCTTAACACTTTGAATGCTCCAAAAAAGAGCCTTGAGAAGCTACAGAAGTTACAATGTGGGCTACGATGGAGAAGAAACATTATTTACTGTTTTCTCGTGTTCTTCCTATTTGCAAAATACAAGTAAACCTTCAATGGATTGTAGTATAAAGTGTTATGTCTTCATTATTTTATCACAAATAAGCTAATATCACAAGGTCAAAGCCATGGTCAAATCTAAGCAAAATGAAAGATTGTAAAATGCATGCAGGACACGTATCCTTCCTCCTCTTTCAATTGTCTTGTCATTGCCCACGAAGATACTGCTTTTAGAGTTTTGTGAGGATAGAGAAAACAAAGGGAACATGTGTGTGGGTACTGGCTACCTTTCAATATGCGATTTACCTCAAACTTTAGAAAACCTCAACAAATACAAATTGTCTTGCAATCTACAAACATTTTGAAAATGCAAGAGGCAATGTGGTGGAGAGAGATAACAACTTCAGGGAGAAAGCTACTTCCACAGTCTATCCAGAGGCCATCAGGAGTAGCGAAGGAGGATTCTAGGGAATTAGGAAATTGAAGGAAGCAGACAGGGTAGATGTAGGGAGACTGAGGGAGAAGGCTAGATTTGATTCAAAATCCCATCTACAGATGGAACTGGAGAGCATTATGCTAAGTGAAATAAGCCAGGGGGCAAAAGGCAAATACCATATGATCTCACCTATAAGTAGAACTTAACCAACAAAACAAACAAGCAAGAAAAATATAACCAGCAACATTGAAAGAAAAAAAGAAACCATCAGAGTCAAGAGGGAAGGAGGGAAAGGGGCAGAGAAAGGGAAGGGAAGGGTCAAGTCAAGGAACATGTATAAAGAACCCATGAACAAAGCCAAAGTGGGGAAGGATTAGGGAGGGAGCGGGGAAGAGGGACAGGGGAAAGTGGTGGTGGGAAGGTGGAGACAAATGTATTTGACAAAAAAATAAAAATTAAAAGAAAAAAAGTATAACCTAAAAAAAAAAGCAAACAAACAAACAAACAAAAACCCCAAAATCCCACCTACATAGATAAGGGAACACATAAACCCCAGTCTTGAGTTTTAAAAATGCTACTTCTTATATCCTATTGATAATTTTCAGTCCACGGGAAAAGTTAAATATTAAAACTAACTCTGCTTTCCAGGTCCATTTTGAGGGAAACGGAAGTCTGCCGTAAACTGATGCACCATATATACCTGAAGCCCCTAACGCAACCTGAACTGGCCACTAGTCAGTTAGCTGGGAGCAGCAGGTAGGTGTGTCAAAAAGTGGCCTTTCAGCCTTGGGATCAAGCTCAGTGAGAGCATCAGTTCGCTCTTCCTTCTCTTCCTGATCCTGAGAGTAAAGGGTTACCGGCATCCTCCATTCCCTTCTCTAATCTTGCTGTGAGGTACTCTCTCCGTGGGGGACCTCATCCTTTTCTCCCAGGTTCAACCGTCAATCACCTCTCTGTGAATGAGGCGGCTTAGCTTTTTTCTTCTATTCCTTCCCTCTTCCCACACTATATTATCACATTTTCCATATCGGTTTTCCCAGACTGGTTGTACCAAGGGCTCAAAATCAGCTTCTCAAAAATTAAATTCATCAGTTTGACCTCCCAGCTCTGTCTTTCTCCTGACATCCCTCTTAATAACAACAATCATTTACTGAATGCTTACTGTGTGGCAGACACTGCTCTTAGTAACGTTCGTGCAACAGCTTGTTTAATCCTCAAACTGGTCCAAGAAGATACTACTGTTTCCTTACTTTTAGAGTTAAGCAAATAGAGAGATACGGAGAGGTTGTTTATAATTATACAATTACTGAAAGTCAAGGCTAGGACTGGAACCTGGGCAGTCTGCCCTGGAGCTGAATCCTTAGCCACAGAGCTGTACTGCCTCTCTTAGACAGTTTGCAATTCTTACCCTTGTCTTCAGCTCCTCCATCTCTTGTTCAGCCAAACCCTGCCGATGTTCTTTCTACAAGGCCTCTCCCTTCTGTCGGCGGCCCCCATCCCCCTGCCCTCCTTACCCCTTATCTATGCCAGTTTTTCTGACTTCCAGTTATCCTCTAGGGGTGCTGTCTCTAGGCCCGCTCTACCTGAATTTTCTTTTTAGTAAGGTAAAGATAGCTTTTTTCCTTTGGGATATAAAAATAATACATGTTCAGTGCATAATAACCAGAGGATTAAAACAAATGTATCAAAAAGAAACTAAAAACCCACATAATAATTTTGCCTGTCTGCATATCTGTTGCTAACATATTGGTATATATTTCAGATTTTTTCTTTTTCTATGCACATACCTGGACACATAACTTTTTACAATAAAAAAGGGTCATATTTATTTATTGCATTTAAATTTTTTTATTACCATCACTGGCTATTATTAGTCTTTTTTTACTTTTTCCAAGCTTAAGGGCAAATATATTTGTGTACTAGTTTGCATGTCTCTAATTACTAATGATACTGAATATTTTTATAGGTTTGATGGACATTGCATTCTCTCTCGTGAGAATATTTTCTAGTAGGTTATCGAACTTTTTCTTATTGATTTTTATGAGCTCTTTATATAGTGAGTATATTAACTCTTTGCTAATCATGTATATTATAGAAAATTTTCCCTGAGTTGCTCCTCTTTCTATGTTAGGGTTTGTGGGTTTTTTTATTTCTTCGTTTGTTTAGCATATAAAAGTTTAAAATTTTATGTAGTCACAAATATTATTTTTTCCTTTATATTTTCTGTCTCTGATGTTTTGTGGCCAGATTACTGTTTCTAATGCTCAGTCCTGGTCACGTGACCTCTACAATGCTCAGTGGCCCTCACAGCCTGTGGAAGCCGGAAGTCCTTGGCCAGTACATAAGCCCTCCTCCTTCATCAGGTTGCATTTCAGCTTGTTCTTGGCTCCTTTCTTTCATACGATTTATACTCTATTCAAGCAATATATGAGTAAATTGCTATTCTGAAAATGTGTCCCCTATTTCCCCACTATTAGAAATTATAAGGAAAACATAAAAAGATTTTAATAGTAAATAGAGAAGGTCATGAAAATAGATTGACCCAATATTCTTGAAATTAAACCTTAAAAATAATTTTTCAAAAGCAGAGGCAGAATACACTGGGACCTTGCTTCAGGATTCCTGTGTGCTTGAGAGAAGGGAAGCTGAGGGTGAGTATAAGGTCACTTGGGGCACATTAAGATATTCTGCTATAATCTAAATGCTTCCAAGTGACATAACCGGTATCATGAAGACTGCGTGCATAAGTTCCTCTTGGTTATCTATTACAGGAGGCTGATGAGTCACCTAAAGTTTACCCAGAACTTTTTCTCCCCAGATTCCCCAACACCTTTGCTTATTCTATTCTATCTAGAATACCCTCCCTCAGATTCTCTTATCCCTCCTCATCTCAGCTGATACCAATCTTCCAAGTAACTTAAAAGCAACCTCCATTTTTGATTCGCAAGCAAGAATTAAGTCAGCATTTGGCTTCCTATAGTTTGCTGTGCCTTATGACTCTCTCACGCCACCGATCACGTCTCCTCTTGCCTCTCGACTTGAGTGTGTTATCTACTGACCACAGTGTAAATTCCCTGAGGGCAGAGATCACATCTCATCTTGGAGTGCTCCCTTAGTACCAAACAGGGTGCTGGGTAATCCTCAGTAAATGTGCTGAATGAAGGACTCACCATTAGGACCAGGTCAACATTAAATCATCGAAGCTACTCTCTGGGGAAGGCATTTGACACAAACTCCATGGTGGGTCGTGCCAGGCCTGGGAACAGACCTGAGCTCATGCCTCCCTTTCAATCCTCAGCAGCTCAGCTCTATCAGCTCAACATTCACCTCAGTACCACAATCTCGGCCAAATCAACATCACTGAGACCCAGTATTTCCTCTGGCATATTCACTGGGCTACCAAAGACACGTGCCTAGAACTTCAGTGCCTTCCAGCTGGTACCATCACTCCTGCAGAAACAAGGCAGCTAAGTTTCTACTGCATCCTAATACAGGCTGGAGCTGTGGGAGTCAAGGTCCTCAGAGTTACAAATCATTTAAACATGACATAGTTTACAGCAGTTGAGGTTGCTCAAACAGAGGCTCAATGCAAAGGCTTTTAACACTAAGAGAGAGAGCCTGAGAGTGTCATACCTGGATGTTAACATCCGCCCCGTTGTTTACTAGCAGCTCAAGACACAAAGCACCATGTGTGGAGGCAGCAGCAAAATGCAAAGGGGTGAAGCCACTGTTGTTGGGCTGGTTCACATTAGCACCGTAGTCAGTCAGCTCGTTAACTACAGCATCCTGCCCATTGTAGCAGGCCAGATGAAGGGCCGTGTTTCCATAGATGTTGATTTCATCGATCTGTGAATGAGTGCAAAACAGGGCGATTAAACTCACTGGAGCTAATTTTTCCCATTTTCCACAAAAAGCCTAATGGCTGTGCCAAAGAAAGGAAACATCCATCTGTCAACGTAATTATTCAGAGCTTACTCTTGCCCTGTTGTGGTCGTTCTGAAAATACTTGTCACTGGAGGTAAAGATCAGCAGAAAGTGAATGTGACAAAGAGTAAATTGCAAAGGAAGAGTGTGTTAGAGGTTTCAACTTGTGGAGGGACAGTTTTGGGCTATGGAAGCGATTAGAATGGGAAAGGCAAAGCTGCCTGGAAATGCCAGAGGTGAACTAAATCAGGGAGCAAGAAAAAAGCCTGAAACTCCACAGGGATCATGAAGAGAAAGAGGTGGGAAATGCGGGGGGAGGTGCTGTGGAGCCTCAACTCAAAAGATGGGTTCAGGAGCCACTCTGAGTTTGGCTGTGCTGTCTGGCGCGCCACCTGGCCACACTCTGTAGCAGGACCAGGGAGCTATGCTCGGTGTTGAGGCCATGGCGCCTTCTGCTGCCCTGACTGTTGAGTTTCATGAGCATAGCCTCAATAGTGCAGCTGGGCTTTCTTTTCCTCCAGAGACAGGGATGTTCCAGAGCCCGACCGCGGCCCCTGCGCTGCTACAGGAAGGGGTCAGGCTGCCTTCTGCGGCCCGACACTGGACGCTTCTGCTATTTGTTCCTGCCATTCATTCATTCATTTCTTCTTGAAAGCCACAATTTAGAAGGCTAGATTCTGAAGGTGGGGTAAAGAATCTTAACCAGTCTTTTAAAAAATGACTGGTTAATAGATTATATATACGACTGGCTAATATATTACACACACACACACACACACACTCACTCATTCATACACATATGTATATATAAAACTATCCATCTATTGTGATATAGAAAGTTACACATATACATACATATGACAGAGGACCCCCCACAGAAAACAGAATTATCTTCTGAAGGTCAGGATCCTTGTAGTACAGACCTCCCCGGCTGGCTGAGTGTTCTAGGAACCCATTCGTATCAGTGCACCAGTTGGCATTGCTGTGAGAGGCTGTGTTTGGCTTCACTGAATTTTTTTGAAGACTCTTTCAACATGCTTGCCCATTTTATGATGGGTGATTTATGAGTGCACCTGTCCACACCACACTGAGCGTTCAGTAGTTTTTGACCAAAAGCAGCACAGCCCCCATACCCTGCTCCCTATTCACCTGATCTAGCCCAAGCAACTTTTCTTTGTTTCCCCTGATGAAAAAAGTCCTCAAAGAGAAATGTTTTGCTGATGTGGAAGAGGTGAAACAAAAAAACGGCAGAAGCACTCAAAAGCATCAAAATTGACAAGCTCAAAAACTGTTAGGAACAGTGGGAAAAAGTGTCTCAATAGGTGTACTGCATCAATGGAGAGAGTACTTTGAAGGTGACTGAAGTTTAAACATGTAAGAATAAATACACAGCTTTTTAAAATATAAATTCCATTTTTGTGTATATATTTATATGTATACATATATAAAACTATTTCTCTATCTATTGTGATATAGAAAATTAGTATGTTTCTGGTTTTCCAGTAATTAGATGCCCCCATTGTCTTCCATCAGTTGCCCATAGAAACTCAAAGATAGAATACTATAAAGGAAGGAGGTTTTTTTTCCTCTAGAATTAAAATGCAAACAGGGTTTAATTTCAGAACAAAAGAAAACCCACAAATGCATAGGATTTCACTTCAGGACAACAGAAAGCCCACAAATACACCATAGGGTGACGCATGAATTGTAGCTCACCTCCACCCCTAGATTCAGGAGATGTTTGACAACGTTGATCTGTCCGTTGGAGGCTGCGGCGTGCAGGGGGGTGTAACCCTTCTTATCCTTACACGTCACTTCTGCACCGTGGTTAATGAGCAATGCCACAACGTCCAGGTGGCCTTTACAAAGCAAGCAGCAGAAAACATCGTTAACCTTTATAGGACAATTTGACAATTCATTCCACCTAAATTATCACTGTTAGCTTTTATTGCTGCCAGCATTTTGCCGAGCTATTTATAAAAAGCTGGTTCATGGAAATAGTCAACAAATATTTAGTGAGTACCTACTATGTGTCAGATTTTATGTAACTGCTGTGGGTGAAAAAAAAAAATAGATGATTCATATGTGAGCCTTCTCTTCAGGATCTAGCAGAAGAGATGCCTGTTTGCAAGTAAATAACAACAAGGTCCTGTAATAGGTAAGTATTACAGTCTTAAAAATATGTTAAAATGAAAACAATGGTTTTGAAACCAATTACCACTCCTCACTGAAAAGCCCAACAATGGCAGTTTGGCTTAGACGACTAATGAAAGAAAAAAAAAAATCAATTAATCAGAATGGCTCCAGATTAATTTTTAAATTATATGAAATTGCTGCTGTTTGACCTTTTTTAGGGGGTTGCCCACAGAAATGGTGATTTCATATGGTTCAACTTAAAAGTATCCTTGTGAATTACTGGCTAGACAGAAAACCCTTTCAGTTTCAGCTCTTGTTGGCATATATTTTAGAATATTTTCCTTTGTTCTCTCTCTCACTATATATAATATGATGAACATATTTGACCTTTATTTTGTGACTGAAGATGGTTCGATGCTTCAGGGTCATGGTTGATAACCAGAGGGTAGAAGATGAATACTGACTCTTGGGTCTAGAATGTGTGTGTAGCGTGTGTGTGTGTGTATGTGTGTGAGAGAGAGAGAGAGAGTGTGTGTGTGTGTGTGTGTGTGTAAGAGGTGTGTGTATGTATGTGTGTTTGCAAGGGAGAGAGACAGAGAGTTTGGTCTTGGCTTGTTTTATTAAAATTTGGCTATTTTCCCCAAAGACTTATATAGAAAAAAATTACTTTCAATTATTAGTGCTTCTGTCTTAAACTTAAGTGGTGGCATCTTTTGTCAGGGTTTTGTCCCTTATTTCCTAAAGATAGTTAATTATGTTTTTTTCCTATTTGACTCCTGATGACACAAAAATGATGACTTGACTTCTTTAAAGGAGTTCTACAAATGTTTACCTATACATCTGCAAAGAACACACTTGAAACCCCAGCTGTTTTCAGTCCATCTCACACTAGCTTGGTGTGTGCTGTGCCTCCACCAAGGTTGGTTGGGTTGACCCGACCAACGTTCACCGGCTCCAGTCCCACAAGTACCATGAAGGCATTTAGTTAGCTCCTAATTCCCTATCACCTTAAAAAATGGTAATGCTTACAGAATCTTAAGATTCTGGTTTTTAAGCCCCAAGATTCATTCAGGCCTATCTATGGCACAAAATTTATTTCATCCCTGCTCCAACCCACTCCCTTTTTCTCCCCACAATTAATGTTATTTTAATGAGATAAAAGGCCTGTATACTTGTTAAAAAGGATTCATTAAAAATCCAAAAGGTATTAAAAGGAAACCAGAATCATCCACAATAACCAATCCCTGGAGATAATCAATGAACATTTCAGTGTGTAATATAGCCTAGGTTGTTTTCATTGTATAGAGTTTTTAAAATGGGGATCATATTGTTCATACTGTTATAATCTGTTTTCACTTAACACATCACAGAATCTTCCTATGTTAATAAATACTAATGACATCATCAGTATAGTTACTGCACAGTGTCACATTGTATAGATCCATAATTCACCAATACAATCTCCTGCGGATGGGCGTTTAAGTTGTTTATAATTTGGTGCTGGGAGAATCCTGTCTGCTTTCCTAATTGCAAGATGTTTTCCAATTAGACACACAAAGGAAGGATCTTCATTTCCCACAGGACTACACTGAGAATAACTCTATAAGGTCTATAATTCGTTAGCAGTATTTGTACCAACAAACGCAAAAAGAAAAAATACAGAAATGTAATCTTTTCCTCTCCCCTGGCTGCGCTGGCAGAAGCAAGGACTGCAGCCCTCAGCTTTGCTGGATGTGGAGAAGCAGGAAAACCCACTGTGACTCTGGTCGCCCCCGCCTACACAGCAGCAAGGGGGTTGTCCGTCCTTTGTTTCTTTCAAAAATATATATAAATAAAAATATGTGGAATTTATGTCCTTGCTTTGCCAGCCAGTCCTCTTTCTTTTTAAATACCTTATCTTGCTTTCATAACAAGGTAAAATAAGCACCATTTGTGCAACTTTCTAATCCAGATTGAAATATACTCAGTAAGGTTCAGGCCATGATTCCATCCTTCTCTTCCTCCTCTTTGCAGGAGAAATAAATCTCTGAGAAGGCAACTACTCAACTAGAGGCAGGCCAGTAAAACGAACTAAACCTTAATTCAGTTGAATCCCAAGCTTGAAAAGAGGTCAAACTTCTTTTTCAAGAAAAAACCTACATGGTCAATGAGAGATCCACGGCTTCTTTAATTAGGGTTATACGCACTTTGCTTTCCATTCACGGAATCCTTACCCATATATGCTGCCCAGTGCAGAGCACGCCGGTCCTTCTTGTCAAATGCATTGATGTTTGCCCCTTTGGCCAAGAGTAAATTAACCATCTGAAAGATAACCAATAAGGAAATCAAGGACTACTGTGTAATGCTGAGGGCTCCTCACCAGCTGCAGGTGATCTGAGCGAAATTAATGTCAAGACAGGTCAGAAACTTGGAGTTCAAAGTAGAAAGATGACGTCAAAGCCATCCACGTGTGGCATGTGTATCAGGAGAAAAAGACTGAGGTGACGGCTACTTTTTCAATTCACTGTCGCTCTAAATTTAAACATAGGTGTAGCTGCCTGCGGTTTCCTGCACAAATGTCATCGTCACATCTGTAAAAGTCTCAGCAGTAATATTAGGTTGCACTGGGGGCTAAGAGAGTCTGCAGGGAGGATTCCTGTCCCCAGTGATGGAGACACCCACCTCCACGTGGCCATTGAGCGCGGCATGGTGCAAGGCTGTGCGGCCCCCTCGGTCAGAGACGTTAACGCTGCTCAGCAGGGGGATGATCACTTCTGCACACTTGACGGCCTTATTGGCTGCTGCTACGTGGAGGGGGGTCTGCCAGTTCTTGTCCCTCGCATTGACGTCAGCCGAGTGCTTAATCAATACTTGCACCGCTTCCTACAACAAAAGCACAGTTTGAAGGGGTCAATGAAAAACGCTCGATCAATACTTATTGGGTATAAGATGTTTTTCACCAGACCCTGGAACTACGGAAAGGGCAGGCTCCCTGCCCTCACAGGCTGACTTGAGATGGTGATTCTTCTGTGACAAGCAGAGTAATATGTGATAAAGATCAAGAGTGGCAGATTAAAACCGATTCACTGCAATTTCTTTGTTAGGCCAAGAGCCCTGACACATCTCCAAAGCCAAATAAACCTTCTAAGTACCATAGTATTGGGTATTTATGGTCAAATGAGAGCACACATGTGTAAATGTGCACATCAGGTGACCAAAAGGCCCCCAAAGATCATCTGAGGTTAGAAGCATTTGTCAATAAGTCTCGCTCTTCCAAAGCCAAAGGCCTCATAGCCCTTCAGACATTCTTGGATCAATTTATAACTCTATTCTCTCAGCCAACATCTTAGCCCTCACTCTGTGATCAATAAGCAGTTAAGCAAAGAGGATGTCTGTTACTACTTCAACATGTAGCTACAAAATTGTTATCTTCCAACCTGATCCATGTTACAATGGGGTAAGTTCTTCTCTACTATCGAATTTCTCCACTTTCCTGAGTCTCCTGCTTTTTATTTTCCTGCTATTGGCCTAATCAGCTTGTTAGCATCTTGAACTATACCTCTACCTTGGTTTTGCAATGAAACCACCTGGGGAGCAAATACAGGTGCTTGGTCCTACTCCAGAGAGTCTAACTGGCCTGAGAATTTCTGTAAAGCTCCCTGGGGACTTGGTTACGCAGCCAGATTGAAGACATTCTTCTGTTCAATCAAGTGAATGATATCGCTTCTCTAGAAAAGGGAATGGCTGTTAGTTGTTTCTACACCCAGGGACATCCTTGGAAGCAGTTAATAGCACTCCTTTATGGACATCTTACCAACATGTCACCAGGGAAAGGCACCAGTACAGCACCCCTGCAGCCTGCACGGACCAAGAGCGCACCTCTGTCCACCCTGATCCCCACAGGCCTGGACTGTCTGATCTACTTTATCATGCAAGTATATAAAAATACCCCCAGGTAGTAGATAATTCGAACTCTCAAAATTAACATTTTTATCGGGGACATAAATGATGAATGAAACAGAATATCCCATGAAATAGTAGCAGCACCATGTTGAGAGCAACAACTAACTTAGTAGATTGAGAGCAAAAAGAAATTAACTTTGCAAATTAAAGAATATAGTCTAAATAGTGTGGCTCCACTTATTTATTTATATAAATAAAGGGTAATAAGCTGATAAGACCCAAGCAAATAATTTGTTAAGATGGTCAAAAGGAGGGAGATATATGCCACCCATCCTCAGCAAGATGGACAATAAAGTAATGATTACTAAATAGTCCTTGAGCCTATTTCAGAGGAAAGCATGTATACACGTTCGGCTCCCCTACAGTGCGAAACACAGTTAGGACTTTGGAAGGCTGAAAGAACATTACCTGGGCTCTATCCTAAAAACTACCTGGGTGAACAAAACAGAAACAAAAGAAAAGCTAAATCACAAATAACGTATTAAAATTTAAATTAAAAAAATAATATTTTTATCAACTTTGGTCTCATAAATAGGGAGGTTTATGTAGATGCACAGATAATCCATTGTGATGCGGGGAGAAAATATTGGAACCTTCCTTTATATTTCTTTTCTTTAAGAAGGAAAGCATTTTAGCTGGAATGTAACGTCTGGGCCAGCACCCGTGCCCTCAGTCAGCTCCACAGAGGATCTCGCCTCCTCTCGGCACGGGAGGTGCCCTTGGGGAGGACAGGGGCTTGCACTGTGCAGACGGGGCGGGGTCCACCCTGGCTCCGTTCATTCGCCCTGGAGTGCTCCAAAAGGTACAGGGACGGGTCTGCCAAGTTGATTTACAGATTGTAACATGTGTCCTTAAACTAAGAGCATTCTAAAATAAGCAAGATTTATGCAAGGAAACCCACATAAATAATGGAGAAGTCACCGAGCTGACACTTCTACTCCTAGTAAAAGCTTTCTATCACCTACACTACAAGGTAAAAGTAATGGCAAATTTAATCAGATCTGACAAGAGCTTGGCCAAAACAGAGGAAAGTCATCAGAAGTCTATTATGCACCTTGGTTACATAAGACTAAGATAAATGAAAAGCCTCACCCTGAGTACATTGTGCCTTGAAATATTAGCTAATGATAGTGGTTCCAGTATATAATTTATAAATAAATGAGATGCACCATTTTGAAGATGCACACTGAAAAAGTTTTGCAGATATATATGGCCAAAAGGGTTGAAGATAATCATCTCAAAGCACTCCTGAAAAAAATGGTACAGCATCCTTTTTACTCATTCACAGCAAAATAACAATGCATACTATCACTGTAATACCTTTGCCTTGTGCATTATTTTATTGCACTTGTACAGATTCTTGCTTTGCATTAAATATTATGTAAATTCAGGACAGACTAACAAAACAAAATATATAAGATCATTTCACAAATTCGTACTTTTTGGAGATAAGAACAATGAAATTGTTAGAAATTTGTTTTTTTGAACAAAATATGATTACTTTTAGAATAACTCAGACTAGGAGATATTACCTTTGAGAGGTACTACTCTTAAGTGAATATTTAGAAATGATTTGCATTTCACACAAAGCAATAGGTCAAGCACAAAAACAAAAAACAAACAAAAAAAAATCCTGACCCAGCTGGTGTGGCTCAGTGGAGTGAGTGTCAGCCCATGAACCACAAGGTTGCCAGTTCAGTTCCCAATCAGGGCACATGCCTGGGTTTTGGGCCAGGTCCCCAGTCAGGCCCAAACCCTGTGCGAGGCAGCTGATGGATGTTGCTCTCACATGTTGATATATCTCTTTCTCCCTCCCTTCGACTCTTGCTGAAAATAAATAAATAAAAATCTTAAAAAATTTTTATGAAACTATATTTACATGCCAATGGTAGTTTATACGTAAACAAGCACTTTCAGAGTTTGGCAGGGGTGGGGGTGGAGGAACCTGCATTCATATATATATATATTTTTTTTTTTTTAAAGATTTTATTTATTTATTTTTAGAGAGGGGAAGGGAGGGAGAAAGAGAGGGCGAGAAACACTGATGTGAGAGAGAAACATTTATTGGCTCCCTCTTGTGCATGCCCTGACCGGCTGAACCCACAACCCAGGTGTGTGCCCTGACCAGGAATTGGACTGGCAACCTTTAGCTTTGCGGGATGATGTCCAACCAACTGAGCCACACAGATCAGTGTGGGATCTGAATTCTTAAATGGGCAATACTTCTAAAAATATTTTAATCACAGATCATTTCCGTCTGTTTTTGTAAATAAAGTTTTATTGAAACACAGCCTCATTCACTTGTTTACATATTATCTACGGCTGCTTTCTAATTAAAACAGCAGAGTTGAATATTTGTGACAAACACCATATGTAGCCATTCATTGAAGCTTAAAATATTTATTATCTGGCCCTTTATGAAAAAAGTTTGCAGGTCCCTAGTCTAGCTCCTAGTTTAAATTGCTACAACCTGCAAATTATCAAACCTGGTTAAAATAGAACTTTGTGATTTACCAGCATGAAAAAATACTGTTGTAGGTCCAACTAGTCAATTAAGGCAGTTAGGTCCCATTAAAAGACTCAGAAGCCTCTCTGTTCCACCGTTGCTAGGCAGCGGCGGATCTGTAGTGAATTTGGGATGGGTGGCGCTGCATGCTCTGTAGAATAGAGGAGAAACATTTGGAGCTCAGAAGGAAGGGCGAGGATGAGGAGAGTGGAGAGAGGGCACGGCCCCGCACCCCAGAGCAAAGGTGTATACCTGGGCGGGAACAGAGTCAGCAGGCCAAGAGGGAAGGGAAGCAGACACATCACCCAAACGAATGTGGCAGGAGCAGAGTTTTGGAGCCAGCCAATCAAAAAGTTAAATCTCTAGGAGTTCTTTTGAATTGTTGTTGGGAAACTATTAGACTTTGCACAAGATGTGGCATGTAATTTCCCGCCAGTCATATCTGCTTAGAAAGCAAAGGCGCCCCTGACCAGCATCTGGGTTACAACCAAAAAGTTAGAAAGGAAAAGATTCAGGTTCATTGATCAGATTGGGGTGGGGGGAAGAGGGTAGGGTCTCTAATAAATCCCTTTTCACGTGAGCTTCAGGCAACTCCCACGTGAATGCCAATTTCACTGCATTAGTCTTTCATACTAACACCTATGTTTGCAGTTCAAGGACATCAAGAATAACCATTACTTTTATAAAACGTTTTAACTTTGCCATTCTGCTTTTTAATTTCTGTGTCTTCTTATGAAATGAATTACCTACTTTTCATCTTACCTGACAAGAAAGAAATCTACCAAGAAATACTTAGTATACAAAGGAATTCTTAATTTCCAAAAATTAACTTTTTAAAAATGAAAACACAAGCAGTCTAAAATGATTATGGAATTAAATTCACAGACCCATAGGGCATTATAAGGGGTCTGACCCCTTGTCTACAACATGGGGCCTCCATTTGATAGACAGCTTCATTTTAAAGGCAAGATGACTGGAGTCCAGAGCACTGATCTGTTAGCCTGGCCGACCTAAGAGCCCATGCATTTTTCCACTGGGCCAGAGCGTATTCAGTGGACAGTATCAGCCAAGCACCCTGACATGAATAATTTTAAATGTTAATTCTCCTTAGTTATTTCCATTTTTAAGCTCAGAAGTGTTAGCCTGCTAAACTGGCTAATACAGTAAATAGAAACTTAAAATAATATTTTGGCTAAAACAAAGCTCTGATTTTTAAAAGACAGTAACTTCCTTCTTTAAAGTTACTTCTCTTTCAAAAATTTTGATCCTGATAGTACTTGAACTTAGTTTTGAAAGTGTGTAATTTTAGGGCTATTTAGGGAGTTGATTTCTTTAATCAAAAAACAAGAAAAAAAAAGTCTGTTTTAAACACTGTTATCACACATTGGCTAAAACATTTAAGATCCAGGAGTTTGATCTCACAGAAATTTTCACGGTAAAACAGAAACTAATGCGGGGGAAGGAACAATGAACGCTTTCTGAATCAAGAAAAGTTACTTACATGATGCTTCTCAAACTATCTGTGGTGAAGGACCAGTTTTAAAAAAAAATTATATTATTTTAAATCCATCATGAGCCAATACTTTTGAACAATACAATCAAAAGTAAAAAAAATGAAAAAAGATAAACTAATTATTTCATTATTATAAGATCAAGAAACTCAATCATTTTATTATTAAATGTAGGAGGCATGAAATTATCAAATTGCTCTAAAAGGTTCTGAATGCTCATTCTTATCACGGCAACTAAGACAAAAGCTCCTGGACCAGTACTCAGGCCACACTATGAGCAGTGTTTCTTCCAAGCCTTTATTTATTTTTTAATGAGCCAGCCTGTGTGAAGATTCTGGCATTTCTCTCGAATGGAGGTTCAGCCAGTTACCACTCTGTATTAGGACTGCAGGCCTTGCCAGGATCCACTCCATAGCAGGCTGTCCCATATAAGGCACAGAAATAACAGACAGAGGGAAGAACTGTCATGGGATGTCACACGGAAAGGAACTAGAGATGGCACTTGCAGCCTCTTTATTTCTACTTTTTATGACTTTCTCTTTTTTTACAAAGGGCCATTCCAACCCTGTTATAAAAAGTAGAAACATACACTGTGGCACATGGAAAAGATGAGAAGAAATAGGAAGCATGTGTCCTGAAAACTGTCACCCCTAATGTTTGTTTTTTTATTCTCAAATGTGCATTGCATTGAAGTGGTCATAAATTACTCAAGGAAAAGTAATTGTTTGTGACTCCAGAGTCCTTGCAGGCATAAGCAATGTCAAATTTTATAAACTGTAAGTTGCTTTAGACCAGGGTCTGAGCTTTATACAATTTTCCATGCTCTTTATGAAGCCTGGCAGATGCCTTGCACACTGTGTATATTCAATAAATTGGGGTAGAATAAATATATTAGTATAATCATTAGTACATTCTCCACATAATAATACGCAAGTATTAACAAGGCATTTCCTGTGGGCTGCCGTCCCTGAGGCCGCGCTCAAGCCCTGAAGGCATTTAGTCTATTACTGAAATCACCGGGGTTTCAATCCCCTACTACATACCGCAATCCATATTCTGTAAGAATTCCATAAATTGGTACTTAGCTATTTTGTCAAATTATTTGGATGATTCTTCTAAAAGTGCCCATTATTAAACTACACTCACCTTTCTATCACAATAATTCTAAGAACTAGTAGTATAAAGGGGGTTCACTGGAGATTTCAGGATCTGAAAGAATTCAAAGGAAACTATTTGAAAAGTGCCAGCTTCAAACATTGGGAAGGCCGGATACAAAAGTGTTCCCAATCTTCAATCTCAGGTCTCAGAGTGTGGTATGTAGACCACAGGCATCGGGACCTTCTTTTCAAAATGTAGATTTCTGGGCCCAACCACAGGCTTTGTCGCCGGGGTGAGGTGCTAGAACAGGTACTTTTAACAGGCGTCCAGATGACTTGAATGCACACTAAATCTGAGCACGACTCACCTAACATTCTAACTAACATGTTACAAAATGCTTACGTACTTTCTTCCCATTCCAGGTACAGTTTGTGTTCTCCGTGTAATCACCTTTTTATAATCGTAAAGAGAATTTAAGGGAAGCAATGATATTCTAATCTCCCATATAATTTTTCCAATTCTGTCTACTAGCATTTAGGCCACAATAATGACAATTTTTTTAAAGGAAAGGAGAAAACACGTGTTTTTAAAATGTAAGCTGTAAAATAAAATGCTGCCCTTGGCTGGCGCACCTCTGTCAGAACTTCATCCTGTGGACCAAGGGTTTGTGGGTTTGATTCCTGGTCTCCTCCCTTTCACGTCTAGCTTTTCTTGAGGGCCTACAGTGACTTTAGAACTGCACAGAAACCGAGGTGATGGCCTGACATACACTTCAGCAGTCCGCACAATTGCGTATTGCCTAATTCCTACAATAAATATCATATTCTGTATCTTTCATGGCGGCTCTGCTTTTTTGATTGAACAATGAACCCTCAGATCAATTACCTACATTTTAGAAGCAAAAGGGCTTTGAGGGCAGTAGAGAGTTTAGAAGCCTTTCAGTGAAGCAATGATTATAATGCATGTTTGTGTACGTAACAGCACTGTGTGTCGATCTAAGTAATAGACAGATGTACCAGCTCTCATGCTGAACACACGTATCCCCTTTGGCAAGTGCTAACAGCCAAATTACTGGTCTAAATCTTCTCTGTTTTCCCCCAAAGCCTGCTTTCCTTTCTCCAGCTCTCATTTAGGGGAGTCTTGGGGGAATGGTAATATGGTCGAATTCAAAAAAGGGAAATCAGAATTTCCTAAACGTGGACTTCCTGAATTCAGAGTGATGTGCTTTGAAATTAAGGGGCCCACAGTCAGTTCTAACAATGGTACAGACATTCCAACTGTCATAAGAAACTTTTCAACTTGCTGTGACAGATATTAATATGAGGACATCTGCTTTTGCAAGCTTATAGATGACCCTCATTATTTACAACACAGAGTCTGTTTACATTTTAATTCCTTCCTGGCAAGGGGCACCCACAAGGGATTTTTTTCCCCTAGAAAACCTGCAGAGGGAGCTGATTCCTTAGAGAAGCAGTAAATGCCCTTCTCAGATATAAAAGTTGATCCATCATTGGGTTGACTGACTTCAAACGTACTGAAGATATGTAAAGAAGGCAAGCTGATGGTTGACGGAAAATCGATGTTTTCAGGATTGAAGCCTTTGCAGCTAGTTGAGCTAACAAAGATGGCGATCACAGGACTGAAATAATCTGCTTTTTTGTCTTTCTGTCCCGTTAGACTGCATGCTTCCTAAGCACAAGGACCATGTGTCCTATTTTTCATTGTAGCTCCATCAGCAAGCACAGTGCCTGGCATATAGGAAGTGCTTAGTAAATGTTTTCCTGGACCAAATAGTTGTTGTTTAAAAAGGAAAAAAAAAAAAAAAAAACAACCAAACCCATATCTTTCAAAAGATACTTAATCTTTAATTTAAAAAAATTACCAAAGCACAAGTGGTTTAAAAGACCAAGAAAAACTCCTCCGTAAAGGAGCTGGACTCTTGAAGCCAGTTGTAGGAACTCAAGCAACCCGCTGCACCTGCATTCCCAGGTAAGACAGAAATGAAACGTGGGGCCACGAGAAGATTCGGAATTCCCCAGGCTGCGAGCCAGGCAATTTAGGATCAGTGCCTCCCTCATTCCACATGGGCCCTTGGGAAAAGGAATACCACCAACCTCTTATAAAAACTACCCAAATCACACCGCACAGCAAGGAGGATTGTGAGCACCAAGCTGCTATGTATCAAGGACACTGTTCAGTTTCCAGGCAGTTGCCAACTGTCGGCCACCACCGACACCTGCGACATCGGTACGTGCATTCTCAGCAACACCTCTATCTCCTGGCTCTACCTGGAGAGCATCGCCTTCTCCAGCAGCAGAGGGGAAGCTTCACTTGTTAAAACCAGCTACAAAGACTAGTCATCCAATGCCAAGTACCTCCGAGGGTAGAGCCTCTTGTATCCCGGGACGGTGGGCATCCCCTCTGACCAGGCTTCAGGGCTCACATTCACCAGAGTTCCCTGCCACCCTCCCCCACACCGGCCTTCTCGTCTCAACCCTTATACTTTTCCTGGACCACCTGATCTGTTTACCATGGTTCCAACGATCATCCTCTCTGTTCCTAAGCTCTAGACCTGTATAAATAAGGGTAACCGATTAGCCACCTTCACTTGAATTTCCAGCATTCAAATAAACTCCTTCTCAAGCATCTATTATGTACCAGGCTTGGGATACATCAGGAAACATAACGCAGATCTCTGCCCTCGTGGGCTTACATTCCAGTGACGTGGTTGCCAAACTCGGCATGTTCAGACAGCACTGATCAGCTTCCCGACCCCTGTTCTTCTGCCCCTGCCTTCTCAGTTACCAGCATCACCACGTACCCACAGGTTTCTTTCCCAACTCATCCCACAAGGTTCCAAGACCCGTCATGTTCACACTTATCTCTGCTGTGGCCACTCCCCACTGTTTAGAGGGCATGCAGCCCTCTGCCAGGTAACCCAGTCCCCACTATCAGACTTAGCTCCTGCTTCACCCCATGTTCCAGCTCTATCCAGCTGAAGCTGCCATTCATTCCCGTCTGTGCCACTCGTCCTCTACCATTTTATCCTCCTGCTCAGCGCCCCGCCTTCTCCTGGCCTGCCAAGACTCTACTCATCCTCAAAGGGCTGGCTCAATTGGCATCTCTTCTTGGAAGACTTCCTCTATCCCAGTGGACAGTTATTTGCTCCCTCCTCTGATTCAGTTCCAATATTGTACTGATCTGCTTACCTGTTTGCTTCCCCCTCCAGGCTGAGAACTCACTGAAGTCAGGGACCATGCCACCCATCTTGGACTACCCCAGCCACCCCCCTAGTGCCATGCCTGGCACGCAGGAGGCACTCAAACAGTTGTTCAACGTTGGTAACCCTCTTGCATTAGCAGTGAAAGCCTTTTGCTCACTAGTGAGAATCCCTTATTCAACAGAAAGAATTCTTCTCTTTCTAGGGACTGAAGGGGCCAGATGAAATAAGATAATCACTCACTTCACTTCTGGAGGCGACAGCCCGGTGCAGTGGGGTCAGCCACATGTTGTCCTTGGCATTCACACGAGCTCCTGGAACCAAACAGCACAGGTTAGAGGTATAACGCAGGCGGGGGGAAGTTCTGCTGATGTTACATCAAACGCTCCATTTTGCACCCCCATCACCACGTTTCGGTTTGTTTTTTCTTTGTATCAGTCATGTGCTTTCTAGTAACTAGACAGGAGACACCCAGTACAGTAGGAGACACCCAGTACAGTAGAAGGAGCAAGATCAGGAACTGAGAATGTCATAGAACTGGGTGAAAACTAGATGAGAAATACAGCATCTCACTGGGTAGGAGATACAGGGGTGAGAAGACGGAGATTCTCCAGGACTATGTAAATGTATGTTTTCAAGAATAAAACACTCTTCAAGTGTGTGTACGTGTGTTCCTGAGCATAATGTATATTCCTGAATATAAAATATAGAATCAGATACATTATTTTAATTTTAGTCATTAAGTATATTTATCTCACAGGGCACATGATACCCTTGTTGACAAACTGTCAGCAAAGAGCGGCCTTCCAATGAATATATACTAGAGGCCAGTTAAGTTTCAAACAAATCTTGCAAAGTTGAGTTCTGATGAGATTTCATCTGGGCTAAAAGGATTAGCAGAAATCTGTTTAATCCTGGAATCCCAACTCCTTCTCTGGGACTAGCCCATATTTTAGTAGGAATAAGCCAGCTTCCACGGAGCTTTGAAACAGACACAGCATAAAGCCTCTGTAGACTGCTTGTGGCTCCCTTACACTCTGGGGTGGACGACAGGCTCAGACAGGAGCCAGGACCGGCTCATGCCCATGGACGTACCTAATGATCATCTCTCTGGAGCCACCTCACCATCGGGGAGGAGAAGCTCCCTATGAATGGATTCAAGGAAAGTAGTACATGCCCTGCTTCCCTGACACCCTTTCCACGAGCGCAAACCCTCCCAGTCTACAACCGAATCGATAAAAACACCCAATCTGAGCTGCCTTTTTTAGGGGAGTTCAGGGTGTTGATCAGTCTTCTGATCAAAGATGGAAGGTTTTATAAAAGGCCTACAAAAGAGGAGGAGGAGAAAATACAGCTCTCTTTGTCGTTGCAGTAAGATGAGCCTATTTTAGCCTCAGGACAACAAGGAAGGAAGCTTGTGAGGAACAAGAGTGGAGGGGTGAACCAAAGAAACTAGAAATTAAGGCAGAGGAGGAGAAGTGTGGAGGAGGCGCCCCTGGACAAGGGCTGTGAAAGTGAGTCAAGGAGAAGCAGGGCTGACTAATCTCTGTGAGGCCAAGGCCAGCTGACAGCTTAAAAAATAGAAACCTTGTGTTTTTGCCATTTTTTAAAGACAGGAGGAGACTTTCATGGGTAAAAGTGAGCTAGAAATTTAGTTTAAGATACCAGCTAAAAAGAAATAACAGATCATAGAGCTTACACAATTTTTCTCTTTAACTGGAAAACAAATACCACCAACAATATTAATTACAGGAACAAGAATATAATAATCCCTAAAACGAAGAGATAGAACGCCTCCCCTCCCTCCTATTCTGATTTCATTGGTTTGGGATGGGCCAGGCACCAAGCTCCCCAGGACCCAAGGTTAGTACAACATGCTGCCAAGGGAGAGTGACGCTAATAAATTGTTGCTTAGTTTATTAAGTTTAAAATTATTTAAATCCTAATTCTACTAACTCCATCCAGGTAGCTTCCCTGAGACAGTTCAAGCCCCTGACATCAACAGGGACCAAAAAAAACCCAGCTTGAGCATGCTGCTAATCAAAGGCAGCAGACATCTCCCTCCCCAGCAGCAGGAAGTCCCGGGCTAAATACTCTGGAGAGAAATAAAGGAGGCCTTGGAGGGACAGTAGGATTCATAGGTGGAAGACCCATGTTTGAAGCTCTACTTTCAGCATTTACTGGCCTAGTGACCAAGAGCCACTCATCTGCAAGATGAGCAAACGAGAGCAAAATAATAACAGTCCTCTGCCCACTTCCCTGAGTGGTTGGGAGAATCAAGTGAATTTGAAGGTGCTGTGCAAGAGAAAAACATCAGCCGTTCCTATTTCCAGATCCCGTCAGTGTCTCATTTGCCTCTAAATCTACGACACAAGGAAGTGAGAGACATAGTCTTTCTATGATACCTTTCTCCCCCTGGTTCCAAACACAGGTAACAATACTATAAAACAGAAACCCATACTTTATTATTCATAGTCTTTGACAGAGTAAATTTTGTGTTGCCTGTGTTTAAAATTAAAAACCTAATAGAAGAGGAACCCAAATGGGGAGACATATACGAAAAGATACTCTCAAAATTCACTAGGGAGGGACTGCACAAAAAAGGGGAAGGGCTTAAGAAGTACAGATTGGTAGACACAAAGCGGTCACGGGGATGTAAAGTACAGTATAGGGAATATAGTCACTAATATTGTAACAACTAGGTATGGAGCTAGATGCATATTTTAAATATCAGGGGACCAATTTGTAAAGCGTATGATTATCTAACCACTAGGCTGTATACCTGAAGCTAACACAGAATAATATTCAATGTAAACTGTAATTGGAAAAAAAAAATCGACTGATTTGAATGTCAAAATTCACTAGTTGCAAAATAAAATAATTAAGGAAGCTTAAAAATTTCATTAGGCAGAGGCAAACGAGAGCAACATTAACATATCATTTCACACGCCTCAAATTGGTGAAAATTATAAAGTGTGACAATGGCAAGAGTTCGTAAGAGTAGGGAGCAACAGGAAGACTTAAATACAGATGGCAGGGGTGTGACGGATACAAGCCCCTTTGGGAAGCAATTTGGTTCTCCCTAGCAGAGTTCACAGGGTGTGCGCCCCACCACCCAGCGAGTCTACCCCGATCACATACCCTGGAGAAACCCTCACACGTGCACAAGAATGTTTCCTGCAGCATTTTGTGACAGCAAGAAATTGGAATCCTAAATGCTGATCAAGAGGAAAATGACAGACACACTGTGGCACAGTTGTACAGCGGAACGCTACGCTGTCACGGACATGAACAGATTGAACGTCTACATCTAAACAGATGCACTTGAAAACACAATATTGAATGAACAAATAAAGCTGCAGAATAATACCTATGACATGATACCAGCTACATAAAACTTTTATATTTACAAAAACAATTCTACATGTTGTTGATAGATGCACAAACATGAAGTAAAAGTTAAAAATACGACTAAAGAGAACAGATACCAGTTCTGGAGAATGGCCTGTAGGGAGGGAGGGCTGGGAAAAGGGTGAATAAATACAGCCAATGGGCTCTAACTGTGTCTTCAATGTTTTACTTTCTTTAAAGAAAGACACAATGCAAATATAGAAACTTCGGTTTTGTAAAGCTTGGGGTACATGGGTATTAATTATATTATTTTCCATACTTTTCTGTATATTTGAAATATTTACAAATACAATGTTCTTAAGAAAGCTAAGACATTTGAAGTTTTTGTTTCTTAATAAACATGGGGTGGATTAAATTGCCCTTTTTTTACACGACTCCTTTCCTGGTTAGTGGCCCTTGATATAAAAATGACATTTCCACCCTTTACATAGAAAGTGGTCCAGCCATACAGTATCTTCCATCATTTTCTTAAAGTTCACACCAGGGGAATAAGAGAATAATAGCAAGATGCTGTTGCTTGTACAGTCCAATTTGAAAAGAAATTTTCTAGTCAAGGATGTGCTACATGCTGGTGTCTTATTTTATTTTCTCACGCTCTCCTCTCTCCACGGTCTCCGTGGCTGATCCCAAAGGCAGATGCCTGGCTCAGAGGAGAGGCATGGTGAGCTCGCCCAGGAGCAGCAGATGGAGGAAGCTCATGGGTGCCCAGCGGTGGCAGAACTCTAGGGTCTGACAGAATCTGCTGTTGGCTCTCCAAATGCTATTTGGTTATCACCACTTTTTGAATCTAAGCATCTCATCCCAGAGCTCCCTCACCAGACAGTCTACCAGGTTACTGACGAGGACAGGGTGCATGTATGTAGTTGGTACATGTCCAGACCTATGTCTACCTGCTGTTGCTACTGCATGTCTGAATTTTACCTTCAGTCTCCCTCTTTCTTCTCCCTTCCCCTTACTCCTCTTTCCCTCTCCCTCTCTTCCCACCCCATTACAGACGACCTATTTCTTTCTTTGCGTGTTTGCATCAGAATGCTCTATAATATGTTTCTAAAGAAAATAACTATGAGTGACTATTAAGACTAATCTTCAAGGATGTTTTATGAAAGGTTGTCAGGAAACAACTTTGGTGTTAGGTGAAGAAGAGCATAGCTATGATGTTTCATAAGAATGTTTAATAATGTGAAGAGCCCTGGCCAGGTGGCTCAGTCAGTTGGAGCATCAGCCCATACACCAAAAGGCTGTGGGTTTGATTCCCATTCAGGGCACATACCTAGATTTCAAGTTGGATCCCTGACTGGGGCATGTACAGGAAGCAACTGGTCAATGTTTCTCTCTCACTTTGATACTTCTCTCCCCCCCCCGCTCTTTCTAAAATCAATAAAACATACCCTTGGGCGAGGATTAAAAATAATAATGATGATGATGCAGAGAGATATTCACATACTTTTGTTATGTGAAAACAAAACAAGTACTAAAACATTAGACATGAAATAAGCCCATTTCTGTAAAAAACACGAGCAGTCTAGAAGGTTGTACCACAAAAGTCCTGAGATCACTTTCAGACACACAGTAAGTACTATATAATTGTTTACTATTATCAGAGCAGAATCAGGAACTAAGGGACCGAGACTGGGCATCTGCCATTGGCACAGTCCTAAGCCCAGGTCAGACCTAAATTAAGAGCTGCCTATTCAAGGGTGATTTCTGGTTAAAAGAGATTCAGCAATATCTCCTCAACTGAGCTAGCTTGAACTGGAGCTTTGGAAATTTGCCTAACAGTAACATACCTGTTCTACTTCATGTTTTGATCATACAAGTAATACATGAATTCTTTAAAAACATGGATCATTACAGATTTCGGTAAGTCTCCTTTAGGATCATCCCTAGTGCTGTACTCTTCCCA